GGAACCACATAGTGCATTTATTTTGAAAGATACTGTATGTAAACATAAAATTTCCTGTGAAAACGGAAGTGTACCTTGAAATACGAGTCATGACATTGCATGTAACAGGCAAAACTTGACACAGTGTCCTGAACGTCAACAACCAACACACCCAGGGTACCTGTCATGTCCTGTGTGGACATGGAAAGTCCTTGACCAAAATGTCAATATCCGACGAGGTCGGAGTGAGATGGGGGTTAGCGTTAGCGTTAGGTGTTGGTTAGTGTCTCTCATAAATAAACCAGTTGTTTATGACCATCCTCCGCAACGCCCTGACTTTCCACTGTGCAATTTCAAAACTCAAAGGGTAGACCACTGCTGACTTCAATGTCTGTCCAAGTGTTCCGTTACAGTTTATCATGTAATTTTCCGACAAAATGAAAGCAGTGCTTTGACAGCGGAGGAGGCCGACGCATGCCTTCGAGTCATGTCTTCAAAAAGCTATTTCTTTTCCTTTGTGTATTTCTCATTTAATTAACATCTTAACACAAATACTAACGATGTCCTGCTCATTTTATGACATATGAGACAACAAGCTTGTTTTGTTATAACAGTTCAGTGACGACAGTGAAACGTGTAACTGTAAAAACAATGTACATGATGATGTGATAGTTTGTCTTTTGACAGTAGTCATAACACTTTCCAGCTGAAAGTATTTGCGTACGTTTGAAGCTATTTGGTGCTCACATTTCCATGTGTCATGTTTTTAAAAATCCCTCTCTGAGGCAGTGGTGTTTCTGCTGTCTGTGTATGACCTGTCCTGCCCTCCCTGACAGAGTACATGTCTGACTGGAGTGAATTTCACAAGGAACAGAATGTGAATGGGTATTTCCTCTCAGCAAAGTAGGTGGGCAGTCATGTCTAAACTATAGTCTGGTATTTACAGTGGTGGAAGAAGTACTCACCTCACTTATAGTTAAGTGAAACTATCAATACCGAAGCGTAGAAATACTCTGTTACAAGTAAAAGCATCAAAATATACTTAAAGTACATTTCTGAAATGCAAGTATAAAGTACCAAAAATGGAAATTGCCGACCAGGACGAGACTCAAAGAGACTACAAAGAGATGCAAAAAAACACAATAACAGCAAAACAACCACAAAGAGACACAAAATGCCCAAGAAAGACACTAAATTACCTCAAAGAGTCACAAAACCACAAAAAGATGCAAAACAAACAAAATAAGTGGTGGGGCCTTTTGCCTATCTGTGCCCATTGTCTCATAATCTGCCCATGTATACACCAGACTAAGTAATAGTACTAGAGTGTTTGTCTGTATTAATATACTGATGTACTATAAAAATAATATAGAATATGATGCAAAAATCATAAACATACAAACATAATATACCGCCGCTTTGTCAGTGAGCTGGGTGTTAGATACTGACGCACAAAGGCACCTTTCTTGCCAATATGATATGCACTGGGTGGCCGCAGATGTTGATTCAGAGGCCAGTACCAGTACTTTGGCAGTGGACGTCCATGTAAGACACTGACACAGAAAGGCACGTGATATAAGTCGCTGGTATGTCCCTTTAGGGCAGGCGGGAGGGGAGTTGGTTGGGTCAAACAAACCCTGGATTTTCACCCAGGAGCCCACTGTTCCCTTGCCGTGTGAATGTAGAGCCAAACTGTGATGTTTTTTTCTAAACCTAACCATTTGCTGTTGTTGCACAAGGAAATAAACCTAGATACAAGGTGTTATGCAAATGTTGTACGTGTAATTTGAATAAGACTGTATGCATCTAATGAGCAGAAACTGCACATTTCCTGTGAAAACAAAAATGTATTTTGAAAAGACACAGTGCATATTACAAATGTAACTTGGCAGCAGCAGAGTACCTCATGCATCATATGTAGACGTGAAAGTCCACAGACAAAGCGGCAATATTTGACGAGTTGGGATGAGAAGGAAGGCATTGGTCTTATGCTCATGCTATAGCCTATAATTTTAAGTGATAATAATAATAACTGCATGTGTATTGTTGAGTTTAAGGACTCTTTGGAGATTGTTTTAACTCCACTCTGTAAGGAATAAATAATAATACATGAATTCTCATGGGTTAAAGCTCCCTTACGTGCAACATTATATTGGGTAGTATATGTTGCATTCACATGCTCTTTGGATGGTCTTGAGTTAGGAAGTCGTGCCTCTGAAATTCATGTGGTTTAAGTCGTAATTTGGAAACAACATGGATGCTACATAGATGTGTTGTATGTCATTACTAAGAGCATTTAAATGACACATTTTGGTAGAAGTTTATGTCTGACATGGAGTGTCTTCCTTTCAGCTCTATACAGGGACTTTTAATCACTATGGCAGTCTAGTTTAATAACACCTGGAGTACAAAACAGTCATTACGTTGCTGCAAAGGAAAATCATCTCGGACCCTTTTAGACAATAATCATGTGTGAAGAAAGTTTTCTCTATAGTTTCTGTTTATAAATAGTGTGAATTAGCAAAGAGAAGTGACACCATTTTCTGGTATCACACTTTAAAAGGTCATCGTGTGTGTGTGCGTATGTCCGCCTGCATGTGTGTATGTATGTGTACGCATGTGTATGTGTGTGTTTGTTACTGTAAATGTGTGTTTTTGTGTGTTTAATGCCACAGAGTGGTGTGGTGGGCTGTTTGTTGCACTTCACTGATCTGGACAGAAAACATGCAAACGAAGCTCTGCTGCTGCTCCAGAAAACACACCACATTTACAGCGTTCTGTCATCGCATAACCAGTGGTGAAATACAACTGAGTAGTTTTCTAAAGTACAATGTTAAGGTACTTTGTTTTAATATTTCCATTTTATGTTACTTTGTTCTTTTGTTCCACTACAATTTGTCAGCCAATATTGTACTTTTTACTGCACTGGCTCTATTTTGCAGATTTATATTATTAATACATAATATAAATCCACAAATTAATTATGAGGTTTTATTATAGTTGAAACTACAAACTCAAATTAGCTCTACCTTTACCACTGGCAACACTAAAGTGGTGTAAAGAAGTATTTCACTGCTGTCAGGATGGTCATAAAACTGTCTATGCAGTAGAACAATACAAATACTTCTGAAACTAGTGCTACATGACCAGAGTAAACACAGGAAAAGGGCTGTGACATTTGCATTTCGCTCATGAGGTAAAAAACTTACAACTACAAGAATGGCCTGTGCCATAGCAGACCGATAAATGCTCCTTCTGGAGGGTGACGTAACGTGTAACGAGTTTGTACATTTAACATAGGAAACAATACGGCAACTGGCTGGTAACAAACAATCTCAAATTACAGATTAACAGTAAGCTACAATATGTTTCTGAAAAGATTTGAGGCGAGAAATAGGCAACGCAGCAACAGAATCTTGGTTCATATTTGTATCAACACTGCTTAGTTTTACCATTTGATCTCAGTTTTTTCAGCCTCCATTTTGACAATACAGAAAACCATTTAACGCCCACTTACTGTTCACAGATTCTCATATTACAGCCAAACAGTGCACTGTAATATGTTTCTGCAGACATTTTATGCGAGAAATAGGAAATACAGTAACAGAATCTTGGTTTGTACTTGATCAGCACTGCCTAGATTTACAGTTTGGTCTGAGTTTGACAGACAGAGGAGCAGTCACTCTCTTTATACATCCATGGCAACTAAGGAGATTGCGTCATATGATGGCGCCATATCAAGTCATATCACTGGGGTACAACATATTGTAGTGAAATCCCGTCTGCAGCTGCCGAAAGGTTCAATAGGTGGCACACTATCATAAACGTCTGCAGACGGCCTTGAGTCAGAATTATTGACTGTATATAATGAATGTAGCAACTGTGACATCACCCACATGATGTTGGTTTGTGCACTGCCGATCTGAAGCCTAGAGTTGGGCATTTTGGCTGTCGCCATCTTGGTTTTTTGAAGGGTGGAGCTGTGGACGAGCGAGGGGTGGATATGACTGTGGTGATGCCTCACAGACAGCCTGTCACTCAAGTGGCCCTGCCCTTAAATAAAATGTAAATGAGTGAGTAATAAAAAAAAATCGCCCCTGTACAGTTGTCATGAATGATGTTAGCTATAGGGAACAAAAACATTTTTTGTAGGTTGCAAACATGTTTATTTCTGCTGTAAAGTTGGGCATTTTATCATGGGAGTTTGTGGGGATTGACCTACTTCTGTAACCAGCCTCAAGTGGCCATTAGAGGAACTGCAGTTTTGAAACTTTTGCATTGGCTTCATTTTTCAGCCTCGGAGGTTGTTGTCATACAGTTGTCATACAAAAACAACAACAACAAGCTATCAGTCATAATAAGTCCTATCAGAGTTCAAAGTAAATATAGGCTATTTTCTTCAAAACACTGAAAGTCTTTGTAGCTTTTTGGTTCTTTACATCTTTAGGTAAGGTGCCATACTGCTTGAGTTCAACAGTAAAGGGTTAGCAACAGTCCTAGAGCCAGCAGATATCCACTGGATAACGATCTGAGTTGAGAGATGAGCAGAGAGATCTGGTTAGATGGAGGAATGTTTACCGCAGTTCATTTACGCAATGTTATGACACAAAGCTAATTTTAAATCAGCAAAGTATCCCTTGAATGCATCAGTAATCATCATCCAATAATATAATATACTGTACTGTTCTAAAATGGGTCATGCTGCATGATGAGCACTTTTACTTTTGGCACCCACAGGGAATCCCCCAAATAACCATTTTTTCCTCACTTAGTCACCCACTGTTACACAGAATTCAGGTAGAAAGAGTTGTTTTTCTTTTATGCCTCCATGGTGAATGGAGAAAAGTTTTGAAGAACTGAGCTCATAGAGGACATAGTCGTAGTTATAGTCACAGTAGAGTATTTTTATGTTGTAGTATTGCTACTTTTACTCCAGATGTGAGTACGTCTTCCACCACTGGCATTGACTGGTTGCCACAGTGTAAAGATAATAACCTGTTTATGTGTCTTTGTGTGTTTAGGCACGTAACAAGCAGAATGGAGAGTTGGCGGCCATCAAAGTCATCAAGATGGAACCAGGTGAGAATTTTATGTGATTGTTTATCATTTTAAGAGCAAGGCAGTGAGGGCACTGAAAAAAAAGCCTCTATATATTCTACCCATGCACCTGGATAAAGGTAATAAACATGTTTCCAGCTTATATTTACTCAAGTACTGCACTCAAGTATGCTCACATGGAAGGTTTGGAGTATTAAGAACTATTCTAAATAATAGTTCATAGTTAAATATTTACACATTAGTTCAAAAAAGAGGATAGTGTTTGTTTTGTAGCACATGCTCCTTGTTTCAGGGACCGTTAACTACATTTACAGAGACCTGGTAAAATAACACCTGAGCGGACGTTGCATCTGCCAGTATTATAGCGACAGACAGGAAGTATTCAGATCTAAAATCATATTAGCTTGTAGTGTGTATATCCACTGACTCCACCTTTGTTTGTATGCAATGTGATGGAAATGATAAACATGTAACCTCTCTCTTTCTGTCCGGCTCCACAGAGGATGACTTTTCTATCATCCAGCAGGAAATCGTCATAGTGAAGAGCTGCAAACATCCCAACATAGTGGCCTATTATGGCAGCTACATACGGTGAGCTGTCTGTTTCTGTGCTTCCTCTCGCTCTCTTATTAATCTCAGATACACAAGTTAACTCTTCTTCTGTCTGCAGAGCCAATAAACTGTGGATCTGTATGGAGTTCTGTGGAGGAGGCTCTCTGCAGGATGTCTACCATGGTGAGTGTGTGTGTGTGTGTGTGTGTGTGTTTATTCTTCTGAGGCAAAAGTTCTGTCTGTGAATGCACTGTGCCACACCAGACCAATTACTGCTCCTGCGAGCTCCTGTGAGCTTGTACAGTTTGACCATAGACTGTTAACATAATGGATGTAGCTACTGTGTTGTCACCCACTGGTATGTAAACTCCCATTTTGAAGTCTCAAGTTCAGCATTTCAGCCATCACCATCTTGTCTTTTTTTGGAGTCAGAAGTGGTCATATTTGGGCAGGAAGCTGGCACTGTGGTGGAGCTGACTGGATCTGACTGAGAAGTCGAATACACTATCAGCAGACAGCCTGTCACTTAAAGCAGCCCACACTTAGTTATGTGTAACTTTAAGCCTTGAAATGTAAATGGGTGGGTTATATAAAAATCCACCCCCTGTACAGTTTGTCGTGAATGTTGAAAATTATCTACAGTATAGACAAAAACCGTGTTTTGTACCAGGCTGTAAACATGTTCATTTCTGCTGTAAAGTTAGGGGAGATTTGTGGGGATTGACTTACTTCTGGAGCCAGCTTCAAGCTTAGAAGAGCTACAGTTTTGGCACTTCCGTGGTGGCTTCATTTTCAGTCATGGAGGCTGACACTTGGTTTTGACAGAGGAAACAACATGGCGGCCAGCTGGTGTCAAACAATCTCGAGGCAGGCGTACAAAAATATGGAAGTACAATCTGTAGTTTAAACAACAGTCCTAGAGCTAGCAAAAACAACAAAAAATAAAAACAACAAACAAACGGTAAATTATCCCTTTAAGACAGACAAAGACATATAACATCTTAAATTTCAACAGTAAAATACAACTCAGTAAAAATAATTTAACATCTAACTGAGAAGATATGAAATGAATCCGCCTGTAAGCATCTTGAAAGGCTCAGAGCTGCTCCTACTAGCACTCAATACAGGATTATTTTTGACAACCTGAGTGACCTAGTCTGAATTAAAATGTTCCACTCCTCAGTTCTGATATGTTAAACAGCATTCAAATCACCCTGTAACACATATACACGTAACACATATACATTATGCAACCATGTTACTTTTTTTTTTTGTGAATGAAACATGAACTTTATTTGCTAAATATTTCAGTCATGTACTGCACTGCATAGGCTGTAAATTATTATTACACTGAATTATTAAATGTAAATTGTTTTCCACAGTGACTGGTCCTCTGACTGAGCCACAGATCGCCTACATCTGCAGGGAAATGCTGCAGGTAAAGTCGCACTGATTATTAATTACTCATTTCAATTAATAACTTAGGTTTTACTCTTAATAATCTGAAACTGTTGATAATAATGTTCAAGGCACAAAAACCCACTTGTGTGTGTGTGTGTGTGTGTGTGTGTGTGTGTGTGTGTGACACCAGGGATTGGACTACCTGCATGCACAGAAGAAAATCCACAGAGACATTAAGGTGACTTTTATTCTTCATTTTTGTTTCCTGTCTTGTATTTATTTGTGGTAACAGCACGTTAGATAACAGTAGGTGACACTTGAAGACTGCTGTTGAAAAACTAGAGATGTTCCGACACCATTTTTGCCTTCCACTGCATTAAAAAATGAATAAATAAGTAAATAAAAATAATAATAACAGCTGTATTCTACTAATCCTAAAACTAAAGCCTTGCATACTGTACACATTGCAATTTTTTTTTTTAGAAAATGGCAGCTAAAGTTAGCAAGTAGCTGTGACAGTGGTGCATCCATGTACAGAGTTGAAATATAACAAACAGCTATACTTAAGCACATTTACTCACCTGACCAAAACAAGATGGCAGTTATTTCAGTCGTGGACCCAACCACACACAAAATAGTTACAGTCCACGAGACTTGTGTACGCTTTTATCAGCTCACTGTGTAATGTCAGTGATGTTAGGAGGTCTGGAGGACGAGGTCATTTGTAATGATGATCATGTCCACACCTGGCATATTAATCAAGTTTTCTTCATTTGTATGGAGCACATCCGACAGGAGTTTCAATTTTCTGACGATACCTGCAGCCTGCAGGTTCATCCAGCCCTTTTATGTAGTAACAGCATATGGATTTATCTCTGCCTGCCCGCTATCTGAATTTTGCACAAGAAACATGGTGAGGGCTTACCCTAGATTAACTCAGAGTTCACACCCTGCCAAACACTGGTCTTCTGGGGAAAGTCCTGTGTTTCGTGACCTACCCACTGCCCACACATGCATCGTTACAAATGAGGACTGCCTGCTCTTGGATACCTGCTGCCTATGGTCTGACACTTGATCACCACCTTTTAATAAAACCCTGACCTTAGCTGAGTGCCATGGGGGTACACGCCCACAAACAGCCCGAATACAGTAAATTAGAAGAAACTAAGAAAATTCAGGCAGAGGGCAGAGCCTCTGCGGGAAAGTACACCACCACACACTGAGAGTGGGACTACTGCTGTATCAGTCTATACATTGTTTTTAAGGAAAATCCTCCATAATATATCTTTAAGTATAGGGTCTGAACTACGTCCTCCACCAGTGAGTAAACCGTACTTAATGTCATGCAGCAGGAAGTGAGCCGAAAATGAAGAGAAGATAAGCACATTACAACAATCAGCCCATCAAATGAACTTTTAATTGCACTTTACGAGCTAACAGTTTTTTATCTCCATCCTGTGTGGGTTCACTTAAAGATCACCGAGTGGGAAAGGAGAGTCTTTGTATGATAAGATGTTTCTCCGGTTGTGTTTGTGTTGATGTTTCTCTCACCCTCTTTTGCCTCCAGGGTGCCAACATCCTCCTCAATGATCAGGGCGAGGTCAAACTAGGTAGGTGGATGTTTGCACTGTGTGCTCTGCGCTGCACCGGTGTGGTTAAGATGAGTCACTCACTGCATGAGCGATGGCCCAATAAACACATCTCTGCTGTCTTGTTTGGATGATATTTAAAGAGTGAAATGGGCCTCTGCAGTTTCCCACTGGTTGAGAATTTACTTGATGATGGTGAATCCAACACTCATAAGCAACATTCTTTATTCTTCCGCAGGTCCTTAAAAGTCCTAAAATTTCTTATATTAATTTATTTAAATATTGGGCATTAAAAGTCATAGCCTAAATAGTCTTAAATTTGATTTGGTGAGATCTTAAATGCCACAAACAATTTTTATTCATCTTTTATTTTCTTTTTGTTAAAATCAGTCCACATTTCTGATGTTACAAATCTTTAAATTTGCCACTAAACCTATTACTGTCTTCTTACTTTATACTTGCACTTTGCTGATAGCAAAATAAAGATGAACCTAACTCATTCTAATAATGACCATAATCCTACATGAAACCTACCGCTGCATGGGACTACATATTTAACTTTATACTTACCTGCAATGCTTGAAAAAGAAGATCTGTCAAATAATCGGTCTTAAATTTGATTAAAATTGTCTTGAAAATGTCTTGAAAGCATTTAATTTAAGTATCTGTTACCTGTAGATACTCTGAATCTAGTTGGGCATTCCCTTCTGCTTTAAAAACACAACCACTGTTTAAAAAATCCCTTAAATTAACCCACTTTCTGTTTATGCACTTGAGACATGTGTTAGTGCTTGTTAGTTTGTTGGTGTTGTCGCAGTGTGCAGTAGGAATACAAAGAAATCACTGAATTTGTTTTCAAGGCCTTGATTTTAAAATGATTACAAAGAGTCACTCAAGACTCACAGCGCCTGCCATGTTAAGTGTATTTTTATTTTTAAAATTGAGTGAGTGGTTATTGCGGTTATTATTTATACTATTTGTTTCCTCTGTTGTGTAGCTGACTTTGGGATCTCGGCTCAGATCACTGCCACTCTGGCCCGGAGGATGTCCTTCATCGGGACGCCATATTGGTGAGGTCAAACCCAGATGATCAGTCTCTCTGCAGCTTTGAATATAACAGGTCCTGTAAACACCTGAATGGAAACATTTAGTAAAACATTAACTGCAGCTGATTGTGGGGAGTATATTTCTCCCAACTTATAAATAAATTAATATGTAATGCCTTATATATATTTAAAGGGACAGTTCCCCCTAAAATCAAAAACATATTTTCCTCTTACCTGTAGTGCTGTGTATCTGTCTAGAGATATCAGACGTAGATTTCTGCCTTCTTTTCAGTATAATGGAACTAGATGGCACTCGGCTTGTGGAGCTCAAGGCACCAAATAATACAATACAAACTCAAGAGCAATGTCTCTTTCCAGAAATCAAGATAGAGTTCCTTAAGACAATCCACAGAGCTTGTTGTGAGCAGTTTCATGTAGGAAGTATATTATATTATATTCTTTCTAACAAACTACAACTGCTGACTGTATCACCACTCAGAAGGAAGTGTGCATCTACTCATGGATAACAGGGTTGTGCTTGTGACAGGGCAAAATGTAAATATACACTACGTCCTCCTCCACCAATTGTAATGTTAGCTAGCTCAGTGGTGCTGGCAGAAGATGATGCTTTACAAGGTAAGGCATGCTAATAATGTTAGCATGTTATATTTGTGGGGAAAACGTGTCTAGCAAAAGACAAATGTTTTTTTCTGTGAATCTTTAGAGTTATAATTGAGCCAAATTTTGTACTTTTGTTTAATATTGTTGCTATTAAGCCATGTTCTAGGTATGTTAGTGCACTTGACAGGAGCTTAACACAGTGGCACAGAAGGTGTAATTGCGGAGAGTATAACACACCAACTCCAGGGAAGGCAGGCTACAGAAATGCAATGAAAGAGAAAGAGCAATGGATCTTTTTTTGGCTCTCTTTTACATAATTTATTTAATCATAAGATGATTCAAGGCATTAAATAAAATAAGTTCTAAGTTTTAATCTAAGTCTAGATCAATAAATACCACTACATGCAAGAGGAAACATATGTATTCGGACTATCACTATGAGAGATATTTAGTTTTGCTGCTGAAGATGATTTGAAATAGTTTTTATTGTCGGTAGCAGAATTGCTTCACTTAATAAAAACATTCCTCTTTGGTTCCTCTTTCATGTTTTTACTCAGCCAATGAGATTATTTCTCTTTAGATCAGCTTTGTCTCTGAACAAAAGTTGCAGTGGAACTACACAGTAGATCCACTCTGTACAGAAGGCCCAACTGTGGTGCAAAAATCAGTTGTTGCTGTTCCTCTTCTGTCCTCAGGATGGCGCCAGAGGTGGCAGCAGTGGAAATTAAAGGTGGCTACAATGAACTATGTGACATCTGGTCCGTGGGCATCACAGCCATAGAGCTGGCAGAGCTACAGCCGCCACTGTTTGATGTCCACCCACTGAGGTAAATACACACTGACAGACACAACCTCACATGCCTTAGCGTGCACCTCTGCACGTACACACACCACTGTGAGTAAAGAATAAACTATAATTAGCCAATTGATGGTTGAATCTAATGAGTACATTAAGTGCTGCACAATTTTGAGCATTTACATTTTCTGCCACTTAATACTTCTACTCCACCACATCAGGGGGAAATATTGCACCTTTTATTCACTCCAAGTCATTTGTCTGACAGCTTTGCTCTCCTCACTTTTCACACTGCAGTTATTGACATCCATGCACATAAACACAAACACAGAGAGATTCTCACTGACTGTATTTTTTCCTGCAGAGTCCTGTTTCTCATGTCCAAGAGCGGCTACCAGCCTCCTAAACTGAAGGACAAGTCCAAATGGTGAATAAAAACACATTATATTTAATAATTAAATCATGGATGCAAATATTGGCCTTACGTTTGTATTTCAAACCTTGCACAGACATTTTCGTAGTGTACATTTACACACATAAGAAGATAAAGACACCCTGAGTTTGTATAGTCTGCATATTAATCAGATTAACAGGATCTAAGTACAATCATCTATTTTCTCGTTATTATTTTCTTCTTCTTCTATTTCTTCTTTCTGATTGTCTCCAGGTCCTCCATGTTTTATAACTTTGTAAAGGCCATGTTGGTGAGGAACCCGAAGAAGAGACCCAGTGCCTCCAAGATGCTCTCAGTCAGTACCACTCACACATGCTCCAGTTCAGGGTTATACTATATAGTGTCAGCGCTGCATCAAACAGACGTAATGTGCAAGAAGAAACAAGCTGTCAGTTGAAGGGGACAAACATTATTTATGGCTAATGCATGGTTTTAAAGATGTAACAACACTGATTTGTGTACAAACTGTCATGACTGGCAATTTTAAAGAGACACCACACAACTCGTAGCAGCTACAATTAATGTTTTTGTAACAACAGTTTATCAAGTGACAATGTGAAAGGTGTGACTCGTAGTGATGAACCTTCAGAGAATTATCACATGAATCTGCAGCTTATCTCGGCTCAATGGAGCTTTGTAGTTTCAGCTCATTGTTTTATCTGTCTGGCTCACAACTTTACAGTTGTGGTTTGACCTCTCCGCTCTCAAAGAGTCGTTTTCACAGATAAAACTCTGCAAACCCACTGTACACTATGTGCAGCAGCAGACAGACACATTTAGAGACAAGCAGCTGAACATTACAGGACATTTAGCAGATAAAGAAGCCTTGTTTAAAGAATGCCAGATTAAATGGTCACAGGACATACTGTATAAACCAAAATTAAGAACATATAGCATAATAAAAAGCTGTTATGGCAGTGAAAAGTATGTTTGTGCCCCTTTATCTAAAAGACAACGATCACTATGTGCCCAGCTCCGTTCTGGAATCCTGCCTCTGCATCTTGAGACAGGACGTTATCGGGGGGTCTCAGAAGAAGAGAGGTTTTGTTCATATTGTGATATTAATGATACTGAAAATGAGTTCCATTTTGTTTTTTATTGTTCTCTGTACCATGAGTTGCGTCAGAAATTATTTAACAGGTGTAAGAATTTAGATTTGATGTGGTTGAGTGATGCTGAGAGGCTCAAATGGATTTTTGATTACAAAGTATTCGCACTTGCTGACTATTTAGAGAAAGCTTGGGATAAACGAAGAAAAGTAACATATATGTAAAAATATCTATTTTGGTTTTGTTGTGGAGAAAGAACTATTATTTTTGTTTGTTTTTGTTTCGTTTTTCTGGTGTAAATTGTGTAGCCCCCAAATTAAGTGGATGTGATTTTGTAAACTGATGACTTTCTTTTTCTGGTGTCTTATAATCCTGTAAGGGATGGGTCTTTGGACATGACACGAAAATAAAACTCATTCATTCATTCATTCATTCATTCATTCGACAGATATTTCCCTCAGGAGTTGCTAGAGACTAAAAACATATTGGGTTGATATTCATCAGTTGACACAAAGACTTCTAATGAATCATCATGTGTCTCTGTATCTGCTAAATGTGTAAAGAGGGTTTGGGCTGTATCTATTTTTTCATACCTTCACGCCTTACTGACACTTCACAGGGGTATGACGGTACTTGTGTTAAAGGGGGGAAAAAGCTGATCTACTGGTGATAGAGGTCATTGTTATAATGTTTATCATATCAGTTTATAACGTGATGATGAAGTCTATGTTGTATTAACAGCTTGGTTTCTGTGTCAACAAGTGGGACTGGACTGAGCTGGTTTTTATCTCCATCCTGCTGCTTATAGTCTCCATCATCTTACTCCTGCTCACTCACTGTTTCTGTTGTCTCTTTCCTCATTATTTGCTTTCTTTGTCCTCTCTCTGCAGCACATGTTTTTGACCCAGCAGTGTCTGAACCAGGAGCTGATCCTGGACCTGCTGGAGAAGTTGCGACACCCTGAGAAACTGAAGACCTGCATGGTGACGGAAGACGACGAGATGGAGGTGTTAATCATATTCTTATTAACACTTTATATGATAAACTGAGATAAAGTGCTCAATAGATATTAACAGTCTGGTCAATCACTCCTTAGATCAGGCAAAAATGATATTTAATGTGTGATTAAATTTTTTTGTCTCAAAGCTTTTGGTGGTTCAAAATCAATTTTAGATTTGAAATGAAGCTTTAAGATATTTATTTTGCCAAAAGATGGTCAGGGTGTCTATCCAAAGACCCTTCCCTCACCTGAGATTATAGACCCTGATGGAATTAATTACATGTTTTCTTGTTGGTTTAAGGTGGCAGTGCCTGGATCATTAAAGAGGATTCAATCTATCAACAAACACAACCGGGCAGAGAGGACAAACTCTGACATAAGCTGTAAGAAAACACTCTTTCTCATTTTCATTAGTTTCTTTTTCTAGCAGTTTAATAATTCATGACAGCAAAAAACGTTATCTGCTGAAGAAAACGTGCTTTAATTCAGAAAAAGTAGAGTATGTACAATATAGTGGTAGAACTATAAGTAGTAATACTACAGTGTAAAAATGCTTAGTTACAAGTCCAGCATTCAGAAGGATTGACTTATAAATATACCAAAGGGGCTTACACATCAGGGATCTGGTCCCAAAGTGTACCATACCCAAGGCATGAGTCCACTTGAAAATATGGTCTCAGGTGTGAACACTAACAGTACCATAAAGCAAAAGTAGACTGTTAATTAGCACGACTACAAGAAGTTTTTAACAGGTTATGATACAGTTTCAATGTAGTACTGAAGCCTCTATATCTGAGGACCAGTTTAAATCAGTCGTACCTAATGTAGAAATGCCCTTAAAGTATGAAAAGTAATAGTGCTCATTATGCAGAGTGGCCCATTTCAGAATAATGTCATATCATTGGATTTTAATTACTGATACATTAATGTGTTCATCATCACTTTAATTTTGCAGTTGCATTACTTTATGTACTTCGTTTGCTGAGAAGCTTAGCTTTGATCTTATTCTATAATATTGCATCATAATTTATTGTTGATTTAAATAATACATTTTATCATTGTTGTATTATTCATCTGAGTCTGCAAAGTAACTTAAATGACCGAATAAATATTGTGGAGTAAAAAGAAAAACAATATTTCCCTCTGTGATGCAGTGCATCAGTAAAAGTATAAAGCAGCAGAACATACTCAAGTTAAGCACAAGTACCTTAAAATTGCATTTAAGTACAGTTCTTGAGTAACTGAACATAGTCACTTTCCACAACTGCAATATAACATGCATACAGCATATGGTATGTGAGAAAATTAATCTATTTATGACAACATGAACTCCTTATATCAAAAGTATGTTATAGAGCATATCCATTTAGAGGAAGATGCTATTCATTTTTACCTGTCGCCTTAATGGATGCTTTTTTTTTAATCACATTTCTGTTTTCATCTTCACTGAAGCTGTCAGTATTACTGAATACTACTGAAATATTCCAGCCGTCATTTGACTCATCCTGCGGTCTCGGATCATTTATTTCAGCTCTGTTTCCCTCTGTTTGTTGGATGATAATAATGTTGGTGAAAGGACATTTATTTTGCTCTTATTTAAGTTTCACTGGATAAATGAAATTTAGTGTTTATTTTGATTTAGTCAGATGTTAATTCTTTACGTGTTGCTCAGTGGAACAGATTTACACTCGGAGGCCTGTGAAGAAAGAATCACCAAACACAACAGTAAGTTTCTAACACTTACATTAAAACTATACATTACAAACAAAAATATACAAACAAAACAAATTTTGCATGGTTTCTCTTACAGTTAAGACCTTCAGTGGGATCAACCGGCAGCAGCAAGAGTCCAGTGAGGTAACTGGACCACAGGTCACACACATGGAGTCACATGAAATATCTGGTTAAAATATCTAACCCCTCTTTTCTCTCTCAGAGATCAGGACACAGACTCAGACGATGACTATGACGACGTGGATATGTAAGAAAACATCAGAAACATGTTTAACAAATGGTTATATTCGCATACTTTATAGACACAGATCTAAACTATTCAGAACTGAACTAACGTGAAGTCCACAGCAGTATGTGAGTTTATATGTAGCAACAACATTGTGCAGAAACCCACGTCAGGTCACGTAGGAAACAATTCTCAGAATGCTAAAACATACATGCATCAATCACAATTTAATTTTCAGAATAGATTAGGAACACTAGAAGAAAACTACACAATGATAGAAAACCTTTAGTACTCGTGCGGAATGAAAGAAATCAATTATATCACATTACTGGATTATTATTCTGGATCATTATTATTATTATTATTATTATTATTATTCATTTGTATTAATCATCTAAATCTGCAAAGTAATTAAAGTTGTCAAATAAATATACTGAGAGTTAAAAAGTACAATATTTCCTTCAAAAAGTAGTTGAGTAGGAGTATAAAGTAGCATAAAATGGAAATATCCAAGCACAAGTACCTCAAAATTGTACTCAAGTACACCACCAGAGTAAATGTAGTTAGTTACTTTCCATCACTGAATATTTTCTTATTTTGTAATTTGTTGAAGCTCAGGAGAAATATTTGATAGTGTGTCATATTGGCAGTATTAATGTTCCTATATTTTCCTCTTTATATACAGTCGGTCATATTCAGTATGATTTGAAGTATAATTTTACTTCTTCATATGTCATTTGTGTATGTTTTATGTATGTATGTGTGTTTAATATCCAATCTGTAGAGGGAAAGTTTGAATTAAAAATATTTATATATTTACAGTATAGTAAAATAGATTTCACTGACGCTTTATCTCTGTGTTTTGTCCACCTCAGCCCTACGATGACAGCCACCCGGTAAGTCTCAATAAACACAAGCTCACATGTATTAATGTGTACCTGTATCATTAACACACCAGACTGAACCAACACTCTCTCTGCCAACAGTCTCATAATGCCACCAGATGATACTCCGCCTCCACTTCCTCCGAAGGTGATTATTAATAATCTACACGTAAAATAGTATATCTGTATGTGTTCACTGCAGTGACTGTGGCTTTATATTTAAAGGTACAGTGTGTAGGATTTAGGGAGCAATATATATATATATATATATATATATATATATATATATATATATATGTGTGTGTGTGTTTTCTTTAGTCTATAATCACCTTAAAATAAGAAATGTTGTGTTTTCTTTACCTTAGAATGAGCAATGTATATCTACATAGGGAGCAGGTCCCCACCATGTTCCACCGCCATGTTTCTACAGTAGCCCAAAACGGACAAACCAAACATTGTTTCTAAATAGGGCCATTCGTATTTTGGCGCCGGCCACTGTAGTTAGCAGCCCCTCTGTAATGAGCAGCGTCAGGAAAACACCTTTTTTTTTTTTTAAGCACTCTCTGATAAACACAATGTCTCCAAGATCAGGATAGACGAACTCGCATTACTGACTGCATGTACTCAGTTGCAGTTGCATCATGCCTCACACATCTAGTTTTCTGGAACACATCAAACTCCTTCCTGCTTCCTGTCATTTTCACTTTTTGGATAAGAGGCAGTTCATATACTGTTAAAAATGTAAATGCAGAGGACGCTCATCATATCCTGATATTACCTGTGTGTGCAGCCCAAAGCTCGGACCAGCTCAGAGGAAAGCATGACAGGAGAAGACGACCGGGCAAGGAAACCCTCCTCCCTGTACGCCCCCTCCCCTCTCATCAGGACCTCCAGTGGGACCCAGGTCCGACCTGCGCTCCAACCACGAACTTCACGACACTCAGGTGAGCTGCCTCACCTTTACACTGGAGACCATGAAGAGGAGTACATTTACTCAAGTACTTAAGTACTAATTTGAGGTTCCTATGCTCTACTTGAGTATCTCCATTTATACTATTTCATAAAAAAAATCCCAGAGGCAAATATATTCTTTTAGTTACTTTACATATTCTAATATTTCATACCCTTCCTGTCCAGTGAAACCCACCTCTCCTGATTTTTTTTAATTTTAAATTATTTTTTTCCTCATAACCTCAAGGATTAAGTGACAGTGACCATTTCAATGTGGACTGGCTACTTTTAGAGTTGATACCTTAAAGGAGCAGTGTGTAGGATTTAGTGGCCTCTAGTGGTGAGGATTGCAGATTGCAACCGGCTGAGTCTCCTCCCATGACATGAGCATAAACTCCTGCTTAGGATTCTTTAAGCATTCACTGTTCAGTATCCATAGAGAACAACAGTGGCCGACACCTGGTCCATTTGTTTAGGAGAGGAAGAGACCTCTGCATGTTTTCTGTTGTTGTAGTGCAGTTTCTGACTGAGTGTGTGTGTGTGTGTGTGTGTGTGTGTGTGTGTGTGTGTGTGTGTGTGTGATCGCTAGACCCTACATCCTTCCCTGTCCAGCGGATTGACAACCAGGCAGACCTCCTTCCCCCTGAGCTCCCCCCTAAAGGCATACGCAGACGGCAACCACCATCAAAGGTAGAACTGTGCCTCTACACCAGTGGTGCAATGTTATTAAGGTCATTTACTTAAGTACAAACTGGAGGTACTTGAGTCAATTCTTTTCTTGGCACTTTTTACTTCTACTCCACTTCAACTCAGAGGGAAATATCCTACTTTATAGGCAACTACATTTACTAGGCAGCTCTAGCAACTTTACAAATTAAGATTTCTGTTCCACTGGGTAATGTTAGCTTTGTGATGCTAACAGTTAGCCCTGTCACTGTGTGTATGACTTACACAGCGCTCCAGTCCCATAGCAGCAGTCTCATAATAAACAGAGAGAGAAGGGCTGAGAGAATCAATCAGCTGCGCGCAGCTTCACAATGAAATGAGATTTTAACCATTTATAATAGTTGAATTTGCAGTGAAGTTGTGGTGATGTGACAAAATTGCAAGGTAAGCGCAGAATTCATAGGGATATCCTGAATTTGCGTTAATTGTTGCAATTGCAACATCACAACTGCCTAGAGGGAATGATTATTAAACACGCGCTTCCCAGGCATTTGTAGCGATTGCTAACTTCACTCACTTATTAGGCAGTCCAGCTGCCAGCTAACTGCATATGCCAATAGACCAGACTGCATAAAAAGAATACAACACAAATTCTATAGATATCAATTTGACGTGTTTGGATGATAATTTCGACATTTCTGTTGAAGTCTTGTTAAAAAGCATTTGCTTTATGGACATGTCTAATAATAATTGTGCAACCTTGCCTGAAACTGAGTGTTTTTCGATGCCTCATCAAATGAAGGCTGATCACCATCATGTCCTGTCAGTCTTCCCCTGTCCAAGTGGATCAATATCTATCACATCTATACACGTATAGATCTTTGGATTATGATACGTATTGGTATTGTTATGCTAATTGCTGTCTGAAAATAACCAGCCTGTTGACAGCCCACTGTTTAATCTGTAGGCTCACATTTAGTTGGAGACAACATTCTGATGCTGCTGTACTGTATGATAGTGTCACTGCAGCAGCCTCCCACCCGAGCTAATGTTAGCTCTCCATCAGTAGTAACTGATGTCAGCATCTTTAAGAGAGTTACCACAGTGACAGTGAATATTGGCGTATCTGAGGTGCCTCAGATCTCAGTGTGACGCTTTTCGGCATTTTCCCAGTATCTTTTCCCCAGAAGTGGGCAGGACTTTGGCGCTGATGCAATGCCAGTCTGGTCTTTGTGTATCAGGTGATACTAGTGATTTTTCAACAGTCACGCAGGGCAGCGCTAGATTTTAAATTAGTAACACACAGAACTAATTTGTGTTATTTCAGACATGTTTTGGGTTTTTATGAATATATCAAAACTTCCAAAACATGCTGTTAAAACTATGTCAATGGTTGAAGTTAATTTTCCTGTAAAAACATGGTTTCAGCTTCACAAACTTTGCCTATGAATAATGTTAATAATTTCAATGTTTGGATAATAATGTTAAGGTAAAACAGAAAAACATTGTGAAGGTGTCACTTTGGGCTCTGGATCATTGAGAGGAACATTTCTCACTATTGCCACTATTTTTGCAGTTGTATTAGTACTTATACTTAAATTAAGGATGTGAATACTTCATCCACCCCTGCTGTACATAAGCTGCTATTATAACTGTTGTGTAGAAGACACAGAATGACTGTCAGTTTATGGTTGAGATTTACAGAGGCTAATGTTGAGCTGTAGTTTATGTAGACTTTCCGTTTCTTCTTCACACCTATCATGAGCTCTTCCTTTTTGTTCTCAGGACCCAGCTGAGTGTGTCAGCCCCGTCATGAAGAAACCTCCTGTGAGTTTTCATTGCTTCTTTTTTGTTTCTCTTATCATCGCCACTGCTGAGTGTCTGAGATGTGTTTGGTGTTTCACCTGTTATGATTTAAAGGAGCAGTGTGTATGATTTAGTGGCATCAAACCAGCTGTTCATATCAAGCTCCTTTTTATCCTCACTCATGAACAAGACCCCAAATTACTTGAACTCCAGATACAATACAGCCAATACAGACATAACAACAGATAATCATTAAATATCTAAATACACAATCATCACTGAAACAGTTTTAATTTTGTAAGAGTCCTGAAGGTGTTTACTAGTGGGCTATACGACACAGATTAATACAGTCATTTTAGTATGAGACTTTATGTAGAGACTTGAAGTTGTATCACTGGGGACAAAATGAATAATTGAATGCCCCTCATCTCTCTCCAGGTCTACTTTAAAAAGATCTTCCACGGCTGCCCTCTTAAACTAAACTGCTCCACAACGTGGGAGAACCCAGCCACCAAAGGTTGTATCATCCAGAGAATAAAGCACACAGTAAATTCTCTGCTCTCTCTCATGCTATCAGATTTCTGTTTATCTGTCTGACCAGCCTGTGTTTCCTCTCTCTCTTCCTCAGACCAGCATCTGATCCTGGGGGCAGAGGAAGGGATCTACACCCTGAACCTGAGCAGCTCAGAGGCCACCATGGAGCTGGTAGGCCTTTTGTCTCATTTAATACACAGAGCAACGCCAGTACATACATATATATGTATATGTATTTGCTAATAGTTTCGCTTTAGTAAGGTTTTGACTGCAGGAGTTTTACTAGTAGTGTAATATTTTCACAGTGTAGTATTAGTAAAGGATCTGACTACTTCTTCCACTGTAGAAGAAGAAGTAAGGCTTTTGAAAGAGACACCAGAGCAATAAGGAAGCAGTGACTGAAAGGATGCCTCTTTTTTCTCTTTCAGTTGTATCCAGGGAAGTGTACCTGGGTCTACACCATCAATAACGTCCTCATGTCTGTTTCAGGTAAATTTAAATAGTGTTAAATATGAACTGGATCCTCATTTAGTTGTGTGGCTCTGTTCTCTGACACTTAAAGAACAGACTAAAGAGCTGCTAACAAAGCAGCCGACATGTTTTAGTTCATAGCTAAGGATTTCTTGTTCTCTGCACATTGGCTAACTGACTTAGCTACAGTGGCTCACTAACACAAACTAAGAGATTTAAATAATCCTTTAAATCTCTTTATTTTTACCACAATGTGTTGCTTGTTGGGCTTTTATTCTGTCCTGGTCTTTCAACAGATTAGAGTTTGACCAGAAATAATTTAATTTGCTGAGTTAAACATCAGTGGTCTGAGCCAGAATCTTAAGAAAGTGGTCAAAATCTGGATGAAGATATAAAAAATGTCTTTCAAAAGGGCCAGAGAGGAGTTGCTCTATGCATTAGATGACAAGTTGTTATCAGAGGAAGAGTTTTTGTTATTATATGATGTGAACAAATCTAAGAACTTAGATTTACCTTATCAACACTATATGCGCGTTTTCACCTGGATGAAATGGAGGAAGATGAATGTCTGGCGGAGTTCAGAGTGAGAAAGTGCGACCTTCCAGTGCTGGCAGATGTGCTCGGGATTCCAGACAAGTTCATCTGTGATCAGTGTCGTGGGAGGGATGGAGGGCTTATGTATGCTCCTAAAGAGGCTGGCATGAAGGAATGGAATAAAGACTAATGTACATAGTATAGGGTATACTGAGAAATTATATACCGTATGCAATACAAGGATGAGGGGAGAATATAGCCTATAGCAGAAAATATTTCACTATGGTTTTTATACAGTGAAATATACATAGTATCCTGCGTCTGTGGGAAAGGATCGCTGAAACATGTAATATATAGTGTGTCACTATCAATTGTAGAACACGTTTCATTTCAGAAATATAATGAAAACCATTTAACCACGTGTTGCAGCGACTACTTGAGATGCTTTGTTTTCTCGTAGTGAGTCAGCGGGCTACGGCAGACAACACCGGCACTACGGCTTAAGTCTCAATCAGCGGAGCGCAGATCTATTTCCGGGAGCCGTAGCCGTGGCAAAATCTGCAGCTGCTTAAGTCCCTAAAGTCTCCATAGGGCAGGTGGGAGAGGAGGAGTAGGCTATGGGTCAAACAAACTCCAGACTTTCACCCGGGAGATCGCTGTTCGTTTCCTGTGTGAAACCAAAAGTCATTCAAGTTATTTTAATGTAGTGTGCTAGTATGTGTAGTACACTACGCTTGTGACTCATGTCAAGTAACGTATAAGATGGATGTTGTGGTGACATTACATCACGTTAGTAACAAGCGTGCTTTTATTGCTTTAACTAAGGAAATAAAACTAAAAAACAATTCTTGGCATTTATATCAACTTTATTTTGAAAGGAGAATGCATGCATTTAACAAGACGAGACTGTACATGTCCTGTGAAAACAGAAGTTTAATTTGAAAAGACAGAATGCATGTAACAAGTGTAAAATGACATACCATACCTGATCGTCCAAAACTGATGCAGAAGGGTACTTGGTGCATCACATTTTGACATGTAGGGCCACTCATATTTGATGAGTTGGAATGAGAGTGTGTGCATATCATACTATTCAAGAAGCAGGTCATTGACCTAATGTACATTACTGCCATTTAGATGCAGGGTTCCCAAGGTCATGGAAAACCTACAAACATCTTGAAATTTCCCAATCACAATTTTCAGGCCTAGAAAAGTCATGGAATTTTGTTGCGTGTAAAGAAATTGTTATTGTAATCTTCCATGGGTAATCTTCCAAGTAATGGCAAATGTATTTTCTGCAGCTGTAGATGTAACATAGCTCTAATATGATGTGTGAACTTGGATTTAAAATTTGGTTACCCATCCAGAAAAGCATCAGTGACCGTTCATCATTATTGAACCACAACAGTGCAACTGGGCTCTTAATATTGAGTTAGTCTGTATTTCTTTCGGCTCTCTGCAGTCGACTCAGTGGTCAGCGGATAATTGCACTGCGATTTATGAGTCCATAGTACACTCAGCTGATATTCCAGCAGTGCTAACCCTAGACTAACATTCTAAAGAAGAGCTTTGCTACAGCAACACATTGCCTGTTAATTCCAGCTTGTTATAGACACTATAGTGCACTTGTAAGTGAAAGAGGAACCTGTAAATCTTCACACATTTGGATGCTAAGCTTTCAGTTTCTTGTACCAATGACTGCTGATGTCTTCTGTTCTTAGTCAGCTGTTGCTCAGAGGGATCTTTGTCTCTTTCAGTTGTCAGTCTGGTTGCACCACTGAACAGTCTTTTGTTTTCCATGTACAAAACAACCCCTTCATACTAAATCTCATCTGTTTGTAAAGAGGACTGTCTGCAACCTAAAAGCATCAAAGACCCTTCAAACAGGAGGAGTCCTCTCAGACATCTGACTGGACCCAATCAAAGTTTTGTGGCAGCAGATTTTACAAACTTTCAAACAGTAGTCGACACACGTGATGCTAAAACTGGGTGGTTCAGTAGTAAGCACGTATGCATGTTTTCTGCATGTTTGCAATGCTTAAGTTCAGGTGGTTTGGAGTCTCTACACCCTGTAATAAAACTAACTTTCAGTCTGCGCCTGCTTTTGTGTCTGCAGGTAAATCATCGCAGCTTCACTCTCATTCACTCAAGGAGTTGTACGAACAGGCTCGGAAAGACCAGAGGATGGTTTCCTTGCCGACGCACAGACTGCTACCAAGGTAACACTGGACTTTCTCTCTCTCTGGTTTGATTTGAAGATAATGTCTCAAAAAAAAAAACATATTTGCTAATGCCAGGTGATATTTTACACTTGTATTTTGTCTTCAGGAAATGTGTAGTGACGAGTAAAATACCTGATACCAAAGGCTGCAAGACCTGCGCAGTTGGTAAGACGAAATTTATGACAACAACAAAAAAAAGTTTTATGTTTCAATGTCTGTGCAGAGTCTATTTTTGTTATGCATATTATTACATTTAGGCATTATGTCACTCCCTTCACTGCAATATCAGTAAATCCTTCAAATGCAGTTGCATAGGATTATTCTCTTTAAATTGTTATTAGCCCTTTTTGAAACTAAATTAGCTGCACACTAGTTTGAGGATTTAAACTGTATTGTCTCAAATAAAGGCTGGCAGTCAAATAGAATTAGGTGCCAAATACAGAAAAAAAAACCAAAAAAAAAACAAGAGTAGATAGACTCCTGGTGCCTGTCATATGATGTGTACATTTTCAGCACTATAATTTTGTAAATTCAGCAATTTGTTGTTCCGGATCACTCATCATAAATCAGTTGGTGACGCTGTGTCATCTTCAATTTGTGGAGAAAACATTGTTTTTCTCGCATGCCTCATTAGTAAATGGTAGACATATTGATTTGCTGACTGATTGGGGTCCACATTTAACAATAAAATTATATCAAAACATCCATTTACAAACTCTCACAAAACTCCTGCAGTTTAATCCAAGTCTCCTTTATCCAGTCGTATGCTCAGCACTTCACAAACACATGCAAAACATCAGTATTGGAGTCTAGCTTTAAAGAGAGCATAGATACAGTTCACTTTTGGTTCAACTGTAAGAGACTTCTCTGCAAATTTCACACTTTACAAAGTGTGAAAGTTTTTTACATCCCCCAAAAGCCTTTTAGACGAGGGGTGTCAACTTGATTGAGACAAGGTGAGGACAAAACTGTATTTTTAACTGTGTGACAATATCAGACAAAAAACACAGATTCGGTGTGCACTGGCGTTTATTGTCCCATTTTAGTCAGTGTGTGTGTGTGTGTGTGTGTGTGTGTGTTAATGTACCAGCCAAATTTTATTTTGTAGTCATGTAAATTCACCACAAGAAGGCAGTCCCTACATTTGAAGTAACATGTGGGAGTGCTGCAAATGTTTCACAACAAAAGCCTCATTAGGAAATGAAGGGTTTGGATTCTGTCCATTGACATGCTAGAGGCTTTTAATTTAAAATGGATACTGGAAGTGCTGAGTTTGTATTAACAGTGTAATGCAGTAACAGCGATTTAACAGGGCAAACAGGAGCAGATCGGAAAAGGAAGAGGCGTCATACTAAAATATGAGTAAATATACTTATTAGAGTGAATATATCTCTAATATTTAAGCCTGCTTCAAATAAAGGCCTGGTGCCCTCTGCAGCTGAGGTTAATAATTAGGAATTTGAGAATTAAACTACATTAATAAAACTAAATGGGGCAGATTCCTGTTTGGAGAGAGAACCAACTGAAAGTTGTCTCCTGCAGCAGGTAGAATGCAGCGAGGCTGTGTGTTCCTGTGCTGTGGTCTGGAGTCCAGCGTTGTGCTGCTGCAGTGGTACGAGCCCATGCACAAGTTCATGCTCATTAAGGTATGTGTGTAAAAACTGTCAGTATTAAAAAATGTGTTCTGTAATCTAATATTTCTTGAAAGCAGAGGGTAAGATGTATTTCACTCTGCGGTTAAAAGTTACTATGTACAGATACTCAAGTACTGTACTTAAGTGCAGGTCCAAGGCACTCAAGGTACTCAAGTATTTCTCAAACAGGTACAGTGTAACATACTGTGATAAAGGAAAACTGCTAAATTGAAAATAAAACAATATGTGCAAGTTGAGATGATGTCTATTGATGCCATGAGTTTATCTTTGTAAATTTTTTGTTGGACTGCTCAAGGATAACCGCTGCATTTTTTTAACCTAGACCAATTTTAGGTTTTTCTAACCTAAAATTGTTGGTTTAAACCTGACATTTTTTTTAAGGATACGAACGTGGACATTGAAGGCTGACTCTCATCTTTCTTTCCATGGCAAGCCTTCCTCATGTGCGTGGCCAGTGGTGCCGTCAAGGGGGGGCCATGGTTAGTGTGATAAGTAGTTGGTTCCATAGCCTAGGTGTATTATGTGTCATATGTATTATGAGGAGCCCAACCCACCTGTGCCCGAGGATATTTTATTTTTTAGGGAAATTACGGCCCGAATCGGCCCATGGGTCGGGTCAGGTTCGAGTTCGGGATCGGGATCGGGATCGGGCAGAGAATTTAAGCTCTACAAAGATGATGTGAACTAAAATTGCTTTAACTGGGCCAGTATTGAGCGAGTGTCGTGGGATTGGCTGCAATGGAAGTACACGGGGACAATTGAACATTGTCACAGTATATCCATTAAAAGTGGTTATTTTTACCACTGACAGGCTCAGATTGTTAATATAAGTGTATGAAGTGTCTCTTTACCTTTAACTTGATCTGGTCCGTTTGTTATTGCCTCGTTGAGCGGAATTCGCCTTCTGAAATATCAAGAGATGTCACTTGTTGCTGTCAGACAACAGTGGAAACGTGTAAGATTTGGAGAGAGTATAATAACTGAATCAACTGAAAGGTAAAGAGATACATACAGTAAGACAGTTAGAATAACAATCTGAGCCTGTCAGTGGTGAAAATAACCACTTTTAATAGAGAAACAGTGAGGATGTTCAATTGCCCCATGTGCTTTCATTGCAGCCAGTCCTGCGTCTGCCGGCCACTGCCCGCTCACTCAATACTGGACCAATTTCAAAAATTGTTGTTCACATCAGTCTCTTTGACCAGTTTACACGGGAAAATAGGGTACAGGTTGAAAAATGCCGAAGTTACCCTTTAACACTGATAGCAGCCAATAAAATGACTGCTGGCAGAGAAATAAAGCATTTTATGGCCACTATTAAAGTTAAGTGTCAGCATTAGACCTTTGACCTCACAGTGATTATGGTTTTGAGAACAGACCCTCAGTGGAACACCGTGCTGCAGCTGAAAGATTGCAGGTTTAAGTGTCCTTGAACAAATCACTTAACCTGTCTGCTTTCCTTGCTGCCTTATGTGAGATTGTAAAACCACCCAGTGATATTTAAAAGCAGATTAAACTCTTGACTTTCCTCTCCCATGCTTGCAGCATTTTGACTTCCCCCTGCCCAACCCTCTGCGGGTGTTTGAGATGGTGTCCGTGCCCCAGCAGGAGTACCCGCTGGTGTGTATCGGTGTCTCTCGCGGGTCCAGTCCCAACCTGCCTGTCAATGTAGAATACATCAACCTCAACTCCAACACATCCTGGTTCACCAACACTGGCCTGGGTATGTTGACTCTGCATACATCGGGATACTGATGATTTAAGTCTTTGACTTTCAGGGAGCAGCCTTAAATTACACATTACATTATCAGTTTAACAAGAAAAGACAAAAAAGGCAAACGTAAGGGTCATGAAATGAGTGAAATGGCATAAAACATAACCTAAAACAAACAAAATAACAATAACTGTGCGCGTGTGTGTGTGTGTGTGTGTGTGTGTGCGTGTGTGTGTGTGTGTGTGTGTGTGTGTGTGTGTGTGTGTTCTTACAGAGAGACCTTGTCCAGATGTAGTTCAAGTAAACCAGTTGGACAGCAGTTCACTGCTCATCCTCCTAGAAAGTAAGTAAAACCTTTAACACCTTTAACAAGTGCTCACATGACAGACACACCAAACCAAGAACCACTGACTGTTGCATCACCTCACATCATCTGTGTCTCAGCCAAAAAGTTACACTTGAACACATCGCAGAGACTACAGTCGATGGCCACATAGCACGTACGTTCTGCTAGGAAAGGAAATAACTCTCCATACCAGCAGTCGGCAGTAGTCTGTATTCATCATTCAAAAATGGAAACCAGAAGAGCCACAGCATGGGTTCAAGACACTACTTAGCAAGTTAGCATATCAACAACACAACCATATGCTGAAAGAACAAAGCACATTTACTGTGTGCTAGGGAACAATAACGCAAACAGTTATAAACCACTCACTCGCTAAAAAAAACCTCTTATTATAACAAATTTGTTTCGACCTCACCAACTCTGACTTTAGCCGTGTTTGCTTTCCTCACTTCTGTTTCTCTTGTCATGCACTGACCTGAACTGACAATCAGAATGATTTCACTCACTGAAGGGCTCCGCTGTCTCTTACGCTGATTCAGCATGCTAAGTCAAAAAACATTGTGCATTCAGCTCCAACAAAACATTTATTTAAACACAGTTGTGTTATGCAGATGCACTGCCTTTTAATATGGCAGGGTTTAATTCAGCTCTTTTCAAAGAGGCTTTATTGGTCATGCTAAAGTACCGAAGTAAGTGTGAAATAAAAACAAAACTTGTATGCACACTAAGTAAAGATCTACCAGAATTCAGGTTATATCCACCTCGCCGCTGATTGGTCAATACCACTCACTGCCCACCAAATGAGAGAAAACACACCTTAAAGCCTGTTTTGAGGAAACATGTCATTCTACCTGGAAACTGTTGCAAAAGACTGCACACTATTATCAGATTGCACATGCCCATATGACAAGGGCTGACTAGTGCCAATGATGAGGGACGCACTGCAAAGACTGGATGACAGATGCTCACCAACAGCCTGAGATTGACCAACAGCTGTCTGTCAGCTTGGTGTGTCAGGGCCCTAAGACGTCAAAAGAACATCTATAAAAGTACTGCAAGAACATGTTTGGTTTGAAAATGGAGTTTGTTCAGGGATTGCTACATTCAAGTGTTTGTTAAACAGGGTGAGGATGAGATATATAATAGTGTTCAGTGTACTTCTACTATTACTGTCTGTGGTGATACTAAGCATCTCTCCTCCACAGAGTCGGTACACATAGTCGGTCTGGAGGGGGAGTTGAAGAGCAGCAGGTCTATGTCCCATGAGACCACCTTCTCTCATGATGTTGAGTCTATAGGTAAGAACATTAGCAGTAACTAAGTACATTTTCTCACGTGCTGTACTTGAGTAAAAATTGGAGGTAGTTTACCGGAGTATTTCCATTTTGCATCTTCATACTTGTAGCCTACTTCAGAACGTGTCAGAATAAATATTGAACTTTTAACTGCACATTTATTTGACAGATTTATTTAGTCAAGTGAAAACCATGTCATTTCAGATGTTTGTGATAAACTGAAGGATGAAGTGCTCCTTTATTTTCACAGCATGGTGTCTGCACTTTTACACAATAAAGGATATATACTGAATATTTCTGTACCTCTGCAAACAAGTGAAGGCTGATACTATAGATGAGTAGCACTCAGCATTGACTCTGTCTGTCTGTCTGTCTGTCTGTCTGTCTGTCCAGTGTATTTTGAGGAAACGCTGCTGGCAGTGTGGCGTCACGGCTGGCAGAGGAGAGGACAAGGTTTTTCTGAGGTGCTGGAAGAAACCACCGACCACAGAAAGATCTACCGGCTGGTGCAGTCAGACAGGTACAGCATGTCTTCACTCATTCACTTCTGTGGTGTTCATGTCTGGTTTCTTAAATTCTCGGGTAGTTTCTATAGATGGTCTCTTAAATTTAGAATTTTTCAACGTTTTTTAACTTTTTGGCTCCATGCACCACTGACCAACTTTCATGGAAATGAACAGGGCACTGCCCCCAATGCTGAGCCCAGGTCTCTTTATACATCCATTGAGCTGTTGTGTCATACATTATATAGTCTATAATTCAGATTATTAACACAGAATATGAGTCAACTAATAAGAATAAAATTCATAAAGTAAGATATATAAAGTAGTTCAAATTAGCTCCACCTTTACCAGCTGCAACACTGGTACACAATAACATATCAACCATTTTAATCCAGTATCATATATATTACTGAGATGGGGCTTCCTGAGTAATGAGTACTTTTGGTACTTTAAGTAAATTTTGATGCCAATACATGTAACACTGTATTTTTACATTGTGATAGTGTTGCTGATTCTTTCATCCATGGCTTATTAGCAAACCCAAACCACAGCTGAGGCTGATGAGAGTGCTGGTAGTATTGTGGGTATTTGGTTTTAAAGTATTGGACAAAATTTTGACTTGTTGGCGGCGCTGTAAAAAAGAGTCACTTAATCTGTCAAATCAGTAGTTATCATCCTCTGAGAACCATGAATATCTGTACAAAATTTCATGGACATGCATCAGTTAGTCGTTGAGATATTTCAGTCAGACTGAGCAATATCTGAATATATTCTGGATTTGGACAGAAACATTTCTGTGATCCTATCCATTCATAACCCCTTAATAGGATTTCCATTGAGTTTATGCTGGTTTAAACTCCACTGTATCCATGCTTGACATCCTCTGATCTCCATGACCTTCTCACTGCAGGATGGTGGTCTTGGAGACGCGTCAGACAGACGACCAGTCGGGGCTGTCCAACCTGTACGTCCTGGAAATTGCTGAGAACTACGTCATGCTGCCCTGACTCTCCTGTCTCCTGGCACAGGGCATGATGGGAAACTCACACTTGTGTTTGAAGAACTTTAATCATTAACCCTGACAGGCATGGATGCCACAGTATTTTATTTTCTAATGGGAGGAGAGGAGATATATGAGAAGGAGAGGATTATTGTGTTGTAGCCTCCAATCTGGGGGAGTCTGCTCTTATTTATGCTGAGATCCAGAATCCAAAATCCAGACATCTGAGAAAACCCGAAGTGAACAGTGAAGGAAGGCCCTCCTCTAACACTAAAGAGGAGTATCTCAGTCGATCACAGCAGCAGCAGCTGCCTGCAGAGACTTAAACATTTGGCTTCCAGAAGATGCCGCATACATAAACATAAAGGACTGGATGGACTCATGCTGTGTAGTTTGTATGTTGGTGTTCAAGATACACACTTCCTGCTGCCGTTACACTGTAATAAAGATAATTAACACAAGATGAGGTGAACTGTACTGATCTTGTAGTGGAAACAGTTAAAGTAGTATTTCACTGACTGAAAGATGGTCTTTTCATAAAACTGTGCTGTGTGTGCAGGAGAGATAAACACTTCTGAAATAGGTGTTACATACATGACCAGAGAAAACAGAGGAAAGGGGCTGAGGCATTTGCTTTTACTCAAGACGTAGAAACCCTACAACACAAAGAATGCACTGGACCTATAAATACTCTAGCTGGTGGGTGATGTAATGCAAGCTTGGCCGTTTGTCCACAGGAAACAATATGATGGCCGTCTGGTAATAAATGATCTCCTATTACAATTAACCAGTAAACTAAAGTATGGTTCTGAAAACATTTAAGGCACACAGCAACAGAATCTTGGTTTATATTTGATCAACACAGCTTAGTTTTACCATTTCATCTAAGCACCCAGAAACCGCATTTGGCTTTGAAGCCAAATCTACGTAGTGGCCAAAAGTTGATTTACAACTTCCATGTACGTTATGTGATGCCACTGGTCGAGAATGACTTTTTTCTGTAGACTTACAAGTCAACTTACAACAGCCTCCTGTGTTGTGTCGAAACATCAAAATTCACCGCGCCGCCAATGGCAGCGCTGTCAGTGGAAACTTCACAAACATCACAATAAGGCATCATCAAGGTCTAAAGGCTTTTCAAAACAAATTTGAGGTTGATCAGGTCAACCTGGGAAGAACAGTACATCACACTATAAAACATGTCACATGTTCCTGTTGCCAGTAGGGGGCACTATATCTATACTTCAAAAATGGCATGTGATTGTCTTCAGGCCAGCACAAACTATTTCCTGTACTGTGGCAAAACATGGCAATTCGCCGCCTCACCTCAGCCATAACATTCAACAAAAACTCAAAAGCTTCACAATGTAGCATCGCGGAGGTCTTTAGGCTGCACTGGCCAAATTTGAAGTTGATGCGCCAAATCACTACGAGAAATTTGTCAATGTACAGCACCTGGAAATGGTTAAAAAAAAGCCCTAAAGGAAATGTTGATTCAAAATGGCTGACTTCCTGTTGGGTTCAGGGTATGACTCCAAGAGATTTCTTTTGAATCTTGATATGTTACATGTGCCTCCTAATTTTCGTACCTCAAGGAGAAATGTACCGCAGGGACTGCTTCACTAAAGTTTTCTAGGGACTCTATCATGATATTTTTTTCACATCCGAGCATGAAACCAATAAAGTATCAAATTTTCACTAGTTCTGGTGCATGTGCAAAGTTTCATGAGTTTTCGAGCACCTTTAGTAATATGATTCTTTTTGTGAAATAGTAATAAATGAAGCAATTTCAACAGGGTCTTTGCACTGGTCGGTGCTCGGGCTCTAATAATTCAGACACCAAGTGTATTATTTAGCTCTGAAATAGTTTTGGCCCCAAACGAAGAAGAATGAAATAATTCAAACATCCACTGAGTCCATGTCCTCACAGTATTTCATAATCAAAGAATACTGTGTGAACTTGGATTTTTGAATTTGTTTTCCACTTAAGAAACGCGTCAGCAAACCTCAATCTTTATTGAACCACAACAATGCAACTGGTCTCTAAATACTCATGTGTACTTTCAGTCCAAAGTTGGTGACATTCTGATCTTAACTTCCAGATTTACATTAATATGGTGGACACTGTCTCTAAATTTTCACTTTTTTCTGCTTGAGGGATCCAAACATTCACCAAATAAACTCAGTTTGCAGTAACAAAACAAAAAAAAACAAAAAAAACAAAACAAAAAAAAACCCTTCAAATACTTAATGTATTAAAATTATGAAAAATTGGTTAGGGGTTTCTCAAAAACTAAAACCTTTTTTGGAGATTTGTTCCTCTATTATTAATTCCGTGTGAGTATGTCACATAGCTGTAGTGCTGCCTTTGCGTGTGTGTGTGTGTTCAACTCTTAATGTGTGTATTTGTTGCTACAAAGAGGATGATGTACTGCATTATATTTTAATTTCCTTAAAGCCCTGCAGCAGTTAATTGTTTTCAATTTGTTCCTCACTGCTTTTATATTATGAAAAATGCACAGAAGCAGATTTGTTCCAGCACAGATTGATTTTGATCTGCAGAAATCTGTTGTATTGAACTGCTGAATGTAAAACTTTAAATTAATCCAATACAGCTGTCTAAAGATGAATGTAGGAGCATCAGGGCAGTGGTGGAATGTGACCAAGTGGTTCTTAAGTACCGTTTTAAGCTACTTGTACTTGAGTATTTCCATTTTATACTACTTCATATTTCTACTCTACTACATCTTAGAGGGAAACAATGTACCTTTTACTGTCTGATAACATTATTACATGATAAATATATAAAAACATCTGCTTACAAACTCTCACACAACGCATGCAGTATAATCCAAGTCTCATTTATCCAGTCATATGCTCAAAATACATTTTCACTAAAACCTTATGATTTTTGTGGGTGAAGTTTTCCTTTAATACAAAATACAAATCAACTAATAAATTATGTATTATTATAGGCTAAGTTACCCAGCAGTTTATAAAATAGTTTAAAATATACAGCACTTTTACCAACTGCAGCATAAGTGATGCAACATTAAAGGTCCAGTGTGTAATATTTAGGGGAATTTCATGGCATCTGGCAGTGAGGTTTGCAACCAGCTGAAACTTCTCCAGGTTAGGATTCCTTCAGTGTTCATTGTTCAGGAGGTTTTTACTGCAAGCCAAATTATCCGCAGAGGTCTCCTCCTCTACAGACAAATGGACCAGGTGATTAAAACCAGTCAAAACACAATAACTACTGAAAGAAGTTTCACATTAAAAATCTGATTTTCCGACACTTTCGCCGCAGATGGGCTACTGAGGGACTAACAGCGGCTGATGCAAAAACACGATGTCGAGCCAGTGATTGGTTTGTCCATTCTAGGCCACTGTAAAAAATATGGTGGTGCAGTATGGGAAACCCTGTAGATGAGGAGCTGCTCTCTATGTAAATATAAATGGCTCGTTCTATGTTAAAGAAAACTTATTTTTATCTGATTATACACTAAAGAAAATATACTTTATATGACCTTCCATTTCTGCCAATATCTCCCCCTAAATCCTACAAACGGGACCTTTAAAGCATCACTGATTATCTGCATAATATACTTAAAAGTATTTTAAGTTTATTTAGACAATAATACTGTAACAGAGAATTTTTATACTGTAGTATTGTGACTTTTACTTATAAGTAAAAGATCTGCAAACATCTTCCCCCACAGCATTACAGTGTTAGGAAACTTGCATTTTATCTCAAACTGTTCCATTTTAAGTGATGTATTGAAAAACCCTCAAGTTGAATTATTTTATTTGAGAAAGTGATTTTAAATATTTAACAGATGGATGACAGTGCAATATTTCTGCAGTTAAGATGAAGCCATCCCCGGTGGCACTAATCTCTTTTCATGAAAACACGCCCAAGCTTTTTAAAGAGGAAGCACTGCGGAGCCCCTACAGTCCCTGAAAAGTGATTTTTATTTTTTAAATCTTGTGAGCACAAGACAAGAAATTGTTCCCACAAGATCATTATCTTGTGCCCACAAGATAATTATCACAAGCTAATTATCTTGTGGGCACAAGATTAAAAAGAATCCCCTTTTGGGACTTTAGGAGCTCCACAGTTAACAACAAAACTTCAGGTCTTGAAAACAATAACCAGTGGCGGAAGACGCAGGGGCGTCACTGTGGAGGGAAAATTGGGGCTGATCACCCAGGTCCCCAGTGATTGGGGGGGGGGGGGGGGGGGGGGGGGGGGGGGGGGGGGGGGGGGGGGGGGGGGGGGGGGGGGGGGTGCTCTCGGATAGCCAGGAATGAAAAGGTTGGTTTTGTTTGGACTTTATTATTTCTAATTAGAGCCAAAACTAACTTTAAAATGGCTGAGTAAATCTGCTGAGGTGCAAAATGGTTTAGTCCACCCCTGCACTAGGAATCCTCTCTGAAGGCAGCTAAAGCTGAGTGAGTGACTGCTTATGTTGCTACAGCACCAACAAACTGTCATGTATTTCCCTGAGAAAGGTGGATCCAAAAAAAAAAAGAATGCAATGAAAGGGATAAAGCAAATCAACTCGTGTGTGAGAGATATATATCAAAAGAGGCAGAGCGGGGGGCCCATGGAGACTGCTTATGCATGGGACCCAGAATTTGGTGCTACACCCCTGGGAAGAAGTATTCAGATTAATTAGGCTTCTTCTACCAATACCAAGAAGCATAAAATGGAAGTGCAAATACTTAATCACAGTACTTGAGTAACTGTACTTACACCACCACTGACAGCATCATAGTGTTGTGTTTTCTTGACCATACACCATTTATTAAAGGTGTTGGCTTTGGTGTCAAAGGGAGGTTAAATGAGGGGTAGATGAAGAATCCACCCAAGAAGAGAAAGACACCCTGTCCGGGGCCGGGTGCCCTCTCTTTACCCCCCGGTACATTAGTGGGAGTGCGCAGTGCCAAGCCGGGCCAGCAGCAGCAGCCGACGCATCATCACACGTACTTTACGCACACTGGATGAAGGGAGGCAGAGACCCGGTCGAGGATGATGCTTACACCGGCTCAGAAGGGCTTTCTCTCGGGGTTTATTTACCAGGTGGCAGCGGTTTGGTCGCCGGTCCTGTTGTAAAATGCACTGGAGCAGCGCGGGTGTGCTGGTCGGCCTAGCTGATCTCGGCTGCTCGGCTTCGCCTCTCCCATTTTTATTCTAGTACTTTTTTATTGTAGCGTTATTATTTCCAGGTCAAAATCTCAGTTTCCTGTGCGGCTTGTTTGTACTAAAAATGGCCGGAGATGGCGGCGCTCTGAAGGATATCAATGAGATTAAATCCCAGTTCCGGACCAGAGAGGGCTTCTACAAGCTGCTCACCCTCTCGGACTCGCAGCAGCGGGGCGGGCTGCCGCGGGGTCCGTCCGCCGGAGCCACGCTGGGCCCTGGGGCTGGACCCGGTCCGATACCCGGTGGAGGGGTCGGGCTGCTGCAGGGGCCCGGGGCTGCCGCCGCCGCTGCTGCCGCCGCCGCCGCCTCCTCCTCTTCCAATGCCGCAGCCAACTCCTCTCCAGCGGGCTTCCTGCCGCCGGTCCGGGTCTCTATGGTCAAGCTGCAGCCCGAGGACCCGAGCGAGGAGTCGGAGCGGGTGTGCTTCAACATCGGCAGGGAGCTCTATTTTTACACGTACACCAACATCAAGAAGGTGAGCCTGTTCTCCTCCTCCTCCGTTAGCCAGGATGACAGATTGGATAGTCAGGGTTAGCTTAGCATGCTAGCCTGCCCTGCTAATATAACGTTGTTAGCTCTTATTTCATCGTGTTGTTACAGCGAGGCTGTTTGGCTGCTCGTGCTGCACAGAGCAGGCGGACATGCACATGCTGGATCTTTATGCACTGCGACATGACACTCTGTGTGAACAGACAGTGAATGGTGCATCATGCAGGCGGATGCACGGTGCCAGTGGACGCTATAGGAGGGCAACAGTGTTACTACACGAGCAGGAAACAGACAGGAAGCCTCTGACAGAACACCATTCACTGCTCTTAACTGAAAACAGTGTGAACTAAAAGCTGTTTATTCTCTCTTTATGCAGTCTGCATGTTAATATGAATATTTGCTAGTCCCCAACAGTGGTGGAAAGTAACTACATGCACTCAAGTACAAATTGGAGGTAGCCTACTACTTGTTCTTTACTTGAGTATTCCTATTTAATGCATCTTTTTACTTAGACTCCCCTACATCTGCTGTAGTTACTTTTCAGATGGCAGTTTTTCTCCCCCTTCCTGTCTAGTGTAAACCATGTATCTCCAGATATGTTAATGCTAAATGTTTGTGATAAACTGAAGGACGAAGTGTAACTCTGTTGTTGAGAAAATCTACTTCTTAAGCAAAAGAAACTCTTCAGAAACCCTCTTGGATCAGCTGGAAAATGCATCGTCACAAAGCTAAAACAGGGCTGTTTTTCTGACACCATGAAAAGTTGACTTTTTAGGAATGTGTGGTTCTCACAGAACAGCTATGCTGCAATCATATGATGATCGTATATAATATAATGCATTGCTGTAGATTAAACTACCCAACAGTATATAAAGGAGTTAAAATGAGCACGACCTTAAACACATACAGCAGTAAAATTCAACATACACATCAATGCAGCAGTAATATTTATCCAGAAACATCAGATGGAATTGGAAAACACTGACAGGGAACATGCTGTGTCAGAGTTAAGTAAGACTGCAGAGGGCCCAAGGAAAACAGACTAACTCAATATTTAAAGCCCAGCTGCGCCGATGTGGTTTAATAATAGCTGACTGTTTTTATTTCTGCTAAAGGTCCAGATTTGGGATTCAGGGAGGTTTAATGGCGGAAACAGAATGTAATATAATGAGTATGTTTTCTTTAGTGTATAACCCCCTGAAAATAAGAATCATAGTATTAATGTACTTTAGAATGAGCTGTTTATATCTGCAGTACATAGGGAGCAGGTCCTCATCTATGGAGATCGCCATGTTGCACTGACATGTTTCTACAGTAGCCCAGGACAGACAAACCAAACACTAGCTTTAGACAGGGCCATTCATTTTTTTGCAATTTTGTGTTGGCCAACATAGTTAATAGCCCCTCTGCAATGAGCAGAAAGCATGTTTACCAATTTAAATCACTGGGTTTATTTGTTTTTCGAGAGGAAGAGACCTCGGCTTCTGGTAAAAAAAAAAAAAAAAAAAATCTGGAATTCTGGATCTTAAGGTATCAGAGAAAAAGGGTGAGCACACATTAGCAGGTGCTAGGCTCGTGGCACATCTCAAACATGCCAAACATCAGAGTAGCACTTATTTGTAACATGAAACTGCTTCATTCAGTGTTTTTACAGGTTAAAATCACAAAGTCCGTTTATTTCGGAGAGGAAGAGACCTCTATGGATAATTTGGCTCCCAATAAAAACCTCCTGACCAATGCATACTGAAGGTATCCTAACCAAGAGTTCACGCTGGGGCAAAGTTTCAGCTGGTTGCAATCTGCAGTTCTCACAGCTAGATGCCAGTGAAACCTACACACTACTGATATCAAAACTCAGAATCCAGTGTTAAAATCAGAAATATTTCCAATGCTTTAACATATTCAGTTACAAAAATAATACCTCATACATGACAGAAATCTGACATTTGAAATCACTTGCCTGGTGAAGGGAGTGTTATCTGCTTTTGTCCTCTGCTTTCTCCTCACACAGCTTGTTTTTAGCATTGCTAGCATACGCCAGGGATTCTTTTTAGAGAGCTGAAATTGCTTGGAGCAAGCTGCACCACTTGCTTCTTAATGAGGAATGCTAATAACCCATTTAGGAGGAACTGGAGGACAAATGTAAAAAGCTTCCCCTCCTCTAACGTGACATGGATCAATGAGGGAAGACGCTGTAACTGACTACCTTTTTAAAATGTCAAAGCTTCTCTTTGACTGCACACCGTCTGTCACACCTTTGAGATTCATCATTTCTCTTTTAGAGGTCATCATGAAAGGACTCCACAAGTACAATAAAGTGAGTTAATTTGCCAGTAATTTGTGTCCTCGTGACAGATGCAGACATGTGTCGATGCACATGGCTTCTGCAGGAAATCACATGCAAACACATGCAACAGACTGAGGACACCGCCATCAGTATACTGTACATTCAGCATTCAGGCAGCGTGTAATTTATACTCCACATGCTCAAAATTCAGGGATTCGCAATCTTATTTATGTCAAAGAACCTTGAGAGTAGATGTTGTTTGTTAAGTTTGTGCTCAGTCTCCCTGCTGACAACACAGTGAATGATTTCACTTTGAAATTCATCCTCCGACACATTTACATATCATCAGCAGGGATGCACCAATATGTTTTTTTCTCTCCTGATACCAGAGGTGGGGCCAAGCTATTGTTTTGCAACTCACAAATAAATCTCAAGTCTTTGCACTCAAGTCGAGAGACAAGTCCCAAGTCAAGACAAGCAAGTCTTGAATCAAGTCACAAGTCAAGACTGACAAGTCTCAAGTCATGTCCAAAGTCTTTGAGTCTTGAGTCCTAAACAAGTCATAATGCGCTTTTCACCAAATGTAATGCCAATATTAGATTTACAAAAATCATGAATGCAGCTGAATTAACCACAGAGATTATCTCTTTCTCTCCAAAACAAACAGACCAGCTGATTGCAACTGGCACCAGTTCAGTGGCCTAGTGGTAGAGTTTCCGCCCTGAGACTGGGAAGTCGTGGATTCGATCCCTGGCCGGGTCATACCAAAGAGGGATCAGTGGGACTTTAACTTTAACTTTAAAAACACTGAATAAAGCAGTTTAATGTTACAAATCAGTGTTTCTCCCATTCTGTTTTGCACATTCCAGACTTAATAATAGTATATATTATATTATAATGTGTGCTCATCTCTTTAGATATAAACGGCTCATTCTAAGATAACAAAAACACAACAATTCTTATTTTCATGTGCTTACACACCAAATATTATAGTTATTATATCATATTCAATTTTCTGCCAATATATTTCCCTAAATCCAGCACGCTGGACCTTTAATATTAGCCATGTTTCGCTGGTCTTTGTGCAACTTCAAATGTCGACACAAAGTTGGGAGTTGGTGCATCTTCATCTGTAATTTTCAACCTGAACTTTTTACATACTGCAGTTTATTTATTGTTGACCAACCTTTAGTTTTGTACACAAACAAAATTATCATTGGTATCATCTATTTCAGGGGGTACTCAGTAACGTAAAGTTAGTTCTTCATGGTTCGCTCCTGCAACTTGATTAGATGCTGTCGGATTGGTTCAAACAAAGCGGATCTCAAGAATTAAGTGTCGACTTGCTGGGGATGAATAGTGTTAATGTTAGAGTCAGGAAATGAAGGGAACCTAATTTATTCATAGCACACATTTTGATTTTTTTACTTTTTAAATTTTGGGCTTGGAGGAAGGTATCAAGTATTCACTGGTGTTAAAGTCAAAGTCAAGTTGCAAGTCATCAAATTTGTGACTCAAGTCTGACTGTATTCAGTCATATGACTCGAGGTCCACACTTCTGCCTGATACTAACTCTGATACCTAAAGACAAGTATGAACCAATACCTGCTATGTGGTGATGTATAAGCAGTGGTGGATTGTAAGTACATTACTATTTGTAGTATTTGTACTTTTCTTGAATATTTCCATTTCTTCCTTTTTACTCCACTATATTTGTCTGATCGTAACATTTTGAGTGTAAATTAGTTTAATTGGGCATGATGAGTATATTCTTTTATCAGAGTCATGTAGGGCTTATTTTTGCTTTTTAACTGATGGGGTCTCTACAAAACAAGCATGTTCCCTTATATCTGGAGTATGATTTGTAGGCATGGGCATCTCTGTAGCACCACTGTGTTTCATTCATAATGGTATATGTTGTGACACATTTTTCCTTGATCAAAAGTTGCAGCTCCTGCAGTTTGGATATTGCACTCTGTCATATTGTGATTTCCATAATATTTTGATTAATGGTGCAGCCCTACAGTAGTTTCATGGTTGATTGTGAGCAGCTCTAGAAAGAAACCCTTTACTCCTTGAAAATGTGTTTCTGTCAGACTCTGCTGTAGCTGCTGTGACATGTGTCGATGTAACTTTATGTCACCTTTGATGATCATTTGTCAAAATAGAAATAACCACTGGTGGAAAAAGTATTCAGATCATTTCTTCAAGTAAAAGTGCTCATACCACACTGTGAGAATACTCCACTACAAGGTGGGGACCAAAATGTCCCCAGGAGTAGCTGCACAATGTTTGACAACCATCTTTTAATGTGGATTCAGATTAATCATGTGGAACAAATGAAATGCATTTAAGGGCCTCTGAACACCCCTGAAACTCAGTTTGTGAACCTTCACTCTTATTGGCTGATGTTTTGCTGTTGCATCATGGTCCTCTTTCTTTTTCCCTCCATCTCGTCTGCAGGCTGTCGACCTCAGTAAGCCCATAGACAAGAGGATCTACAAGGGGACTCAGCCAACATGTCACGACTTCAACCAGTACTCAGCCACAGCGGAGAGTGTAGCTCTCATTGTGGGTTTCTCAGCCGGACAGGTCCAGTATCTCGACCCCATCAAGAAGGAAACCAGTAAACTCTTCAATGAGGAGGTATTACATCTGTGTGTGTGTGTGTGTGTGTGTGTGTGCGTGTGTGTGTGTGTGTCTGCTTTCCTCTGTGTTGTTTTAGTGACAGCTCTGTGTGTTGTTGTGAATAATGCCTGCTCCTATACAACACAACTAATTTGTCATTCTTGTATTGATTTTTTGTTTTGTTTTTTTGCCTTAGTTTGGATGCTGTGATGTAGCTGGGATGTCTTTAACACTGTCCCTTTAACATTCTTTTACTGTGTTGAACTGAACTGCCTCTTTCTCTTTAATGGGATTCACAATTAAATTAGGAGATTGGGTGTGTGTGTGTGTGTGTGTGTGTGTGTGTGTGTGTGTGTGTGTGCGTGTGCATGAAGGCAGACTTTGTGTTTGGGTGTCTACTGAATGTCTTCACCTCCCTGGGATTTGCTTCTCTTAATGTTTTTCTTTCCTCATCATCCACTCCTCAGTTTTCTCTCTATGTTGGTTTGGGTCTGTCTCTGCTGCAGCTTGTTTCTTCCCTGCAGACCCTTCCTCTCTCGTCCCATGCCTCCTTTCTGCATATGCAGTAGTTTTTATTTTTTAAGATCACACATGAGGTGACTTGACACAGCGTCCACATAAAAGCAGAATAAAATCGAAGTATTTGTAATGTTTTCATTTTTACTCTTTTCTCACCCGTTTCTCTGATCTTTCAATCTCCTCGTCCACCCTTCTCCCCACTCCTTCATCCCCCCCCCCCCACCCCCTTCCTGTTTTCCAGAGGTTGATAGACAAATCCAAGGTGACGTGTCTAAAATGGCTTCCCAAGTCAGAGAACCTATTCCTGGCCTCCCATGCCAGCGGCCACCTCTACCTCTACAACGTGGACCACCCGTGTGGCACCACAGCCCCGCAGTACTCTCTGCTGCGGCAGGGAGAAGGTTTTGCCGTCTACGCCTGCAAAACCAAGACGCCACGCAACCCGTTGTTAAGGTGGGCCGTTGGTGACGGAGGCCTCAACGAGTTTGCTTTCTCCCCTGATGGCATGCAAGTGGCGTGTGTGGGCCAGGATGGCTGCCTGCGCGTTTTCCACTTTGACTCAATGGAGCTGCAGGGGGTGATGAAGAGCTACTTCGGCGGGCTGCTGTGCGTGTCGTGGAGCCCAGATGGGAAATATCTTGCCACAGGTGGAGAGGATGACCTTGTCACCGTCTGGTCATTTGCGGAAAGCCGTGTGGTTGCAAGAGGTCATGGCCACAAGTCTTGGGTCAATGTGGTGGCGTTTGACCCCTTCACGACTTCCCTGGAAGATGAGGAGCCTATGGAGCTCAGTGGCAGCGAGGAGGACCTCCACCAGGGAGCACCAAACAACTCCATGCACTTCGGCCGGGTCCGAACAAGCAGCACGTTGTCGCGTCTTTCTCGGCACAGCTCTAAAGGTGGCGGTTCGGCAGCAGTCACATATCGGTTTGGCTCTGTGGGGCAGGACACCCAGTTCTGTCTGTGGGACTTGACGGATGATGTGTTATACCCACGCATGCCGCTGTCCCGCGCCTTTACTAACACTTTTGGGCCCTCGCTGTCCAACTCTGGCAGCGGGGTTGTCAACAGCACTTCAGGTGGGGGAGGAAGTGGAGCAGTTGAGGGGCACCATCACCCGCCTAACACTAACACCGGCACCACCAACCCACCAACGCTCCCATTACCGCTTCCTCGCTCCCTTTCTCGCTCCAACTCTCTGCCCCACCCTGCCGTGGCAAATGCCTCCAAGGGCCAAGGTGCCTCGGAGGGCGGCGGGGGAGGTGGAGGGGGAGGAGGGACCAGCGGCGGAGGAAACAGCACCCCATTCAGCATCGGCCGCTTTGCCACGCTGTCACTACAGGAGCGCAAGTCGGACAAGTCCGGTTGCAGTGGTGGGGTGGAGAAGGAGCACAAGAGGTACCACAGCCTGGGCAACATCAGCAAAAGCAACGACAAGATCAACGTGGCGCCGAGGAGCAACCGACTGGACGCTGCCAAGGTCCTGGGCACCACGCTGTGCCCACGCATGCACGAGGTGCCGCTGCTGGAGCCGCTGGTGTGCAAGAAGATTGCACATGAGAGGCTGACCGTCCTGGTGTTCATGGACGACTGCATCATCACAGCATGCCAGGAAGGTCTCATCTGCACCTGGGCACGGCCTGGGAAGGCGGTAAGTCTTCAGTTAACTCTGTCAGTAGAAAAAACATTGGATTATGTAATACATTTAAACTTTGTCTACATCAAACAAGTACTTTTTATGATCAAAGATTAAGGCCCTCATCAGGCAGAGCGTGTTCTGTAGGTTACAAGACGTCCAAACCTTTTTGTTGAAGTCTGCCCCGATCAGACAGAGTGTTTTTGGCAGCTTGTTGCGTCGTCTTCTTTTTTTTTTTTTTCCTTTTCTTTTTCTTTTTTTTTTTATTGTCTCAAAGCAACCACCAAATCACCTGTTCTTAGCTTAACCACTATTTTGCTGTGTGGGCACATGAGACTCTCAGACAGAAGAGAAATCACAGGGAGTACCACCAGTTCGTCCAGGAGCTCTGCTACACTCTGCTGTAAAATGGGAAATGGGCCTAATTACAGTTGGTTAAACACTAGAAAGTAGTTGAGGCTCCAGTTTGTTAAGATATGTCTTGCAGTTTGCCTAGGGTGATGCTGAAAGTAAGCTCACTTTAGCTTAACATTGTACACTATCACTTGTCACCACCACTAAAAGCTTGCCTCTAAATTGGATTGGACACTGGGGAAAAGAAAACCAATGATGTCATGACTTTTTTCTACTTGAGGTGTTGAGGGCATTACTGCAGAAACATGAGGCCTATAGAGTGGGAAACTGTGAGGAGCTCAGCAATGAAAATGCCGCTAGCAAAACGCTTCACTGTCATTGAAAAAAATTTAAAAAAGGATGCTAAAACGAGCTCTGTCTAATTGGGGCCTAATGGTGTTTATTGATTTGTTGATTTATCATTTAGTCTATTAAATGTCAGTGAATAGTGAAAGTACAGGTGACCTGGGAGAGTGTGCGCCCCATGTAGGCTGAGTCAGGGTTCAAAACCCTCCTGCTGTCCTTTGCTGTGTGTCATCCTCTCTCTTCCCCCTTACCTGCTGCTCTCCAGCTGCTCTGTAATAAAGGAAATAAAAAAAAACATAAAAACATCTTTAAAAAAATAAATAGTGACAGTAGAGTGAAGTAAAGGATCTGAACACTTCTATCCAGTTCAGTATTACTCAAAGCTGATAGGTTCAGTGATATTTTGCAAACATTTTTTTCACTGCAGGTCAGTAATCTGTTTGTTTTGAGCAAACCTTTTTCTAGATATTTCAGACTACAAGAAATGACTCAACAGTTGGAGATGATTTCACCTCTCTTCTTCTGAGGAACGAAGGCTTCTTATCTTCCTGCACAGACTTTCTTGGTCTCATTGTCTCTAGTGTCTAACTTTCCTTTATGTTTTGTCTCTCTGTTCAGAACTTGACAGCACAGAACGGGAACTCTCCGAGCGGCACGGTGGTATAGCTGGGGGAGAAGCTTTGCACTCATCCACTCATCATTTCAAATTAGGGGCCAACAACCAGAGACCGCACCCTACCTACCACTGCAGTATTATACCATCAGTATAACCCTCTGTACCCACCACCACCACCCAAACCCTGCTCCCTTCTGATTTCACTCTCAGGGTGGCCAGTTTGGTGGGAAACACTTCCTGAATCATCAAACTAACATTACTTCATCAGATTTATAGACTTCAGAAGCTAGCTGGCAGCTGTGGGAACAACTACAAACGCTTGAATGTAGCAAAGATGCTAGCTAGCTAGCTATCAGCTAGTTAGCCATTAGCTCTGCTTAGACTAGGTTCTGGTAGCTAGCACGACATGGCCAAAAGTATGTGGACACCCCTTAAGTCGGGGTTTTTATTGTTTGGGTGAAGCCCCTTTGGTCGTTTTTTCATTACCATAGCGATGTCATTTGGAATAAAGTCGCAGCATAACCAATTACCGGTCCCTCCAGGATGTTGTGATGTTGCGCTGCAACAACTACAGCAAATTCAGCCCCGTTCTCTTTCTTTCTCTTTCATATCTGGGACAGAGTCACACTCACACAGTGACACAGCTAACATCACCCAAACGAGTCAGGTTGTTTTGGTGTTGGTGTGAGTTTGTTTGGACCGTTTAATGGCTCGGTGTTGGACGTTAGCTGCTGCTGATGTGTTAGCTTGTGCTAACCAGTCAGAGAGATCAGGAGGAGAGAGGTTCAAGGAGACGGGCCTTCAGTAACAGCTGATAGACAGCAGTTGGCTGTCAGTATCGCAACTATTTATGCAATTTTAACTTGTCCCTGTGATTTCAGAATTTTTTTTTATAAAAGAACATAAAAACATCACAATTTAATAGAAAAGCTGCTGTGATCCCCGAAATAGCCTGCGAAATTTTAGAGGGAGTAAATTACATAGGGTGTAGGGTCTATTTTGTCTGATACGCACCATGCTGTTAACTCTGATTGGTCAGAATCTGCACGCATGCCAGAGAAGTTTATAAGACTAGTGCTGCCGTACTGCTATGCATGATTGAAAGAGGAAAGTGAATTTTTGAGAGAAACTGGTGCCTAAAAACAATAGCACGTCAGCCATCTGGCAATAATTTTGATACAAGAGAGATGATGTGGCACAAGCACGGCAACTGTGCAAGTCTGAGTCAAGGACTGAGTCCACTTAAATATCTGTTCATTTATTGCAAGTGATATTACAATATTCAACAGTGTTGACAGACATTTTCCTCAGATTGTACAGCCCTACAGGATACAGTTATATTTAAGACAACAGTATATTTTAGACATTTGGGATTATAGGTTTTAAAAATCTGGTGGGAAGCCGCCTTAGAGGAGTAGAAGCTTATCATAGCAGCAGATTAATGCTCAAGATTTTGGAATAACATGTTCAATAATCACATATAGGTGTAATGTTGTGTCCACATACCTTTGGCCATATAATGTAGTTAAAACTTTGATTCTTATCTACCCCACAAAGGCAACAGTAGTAATTATTTTAGCGTTTTTTTTTTTTCCTGTTAAAATTTAGATCCACAGATTCTACTGCAATTCAGTACTATTATCTACACATCAAGTACAAAGATGAAGTGTTTTTTCTAAGCAACTAAATAGACATAAATGGCATCCTGATTAAACAGACAACCCCAATTCCCAAAAAGTAGGGACTCTGTGTACAACGGAAATAAAAACAGGATGTAATGACCTGCAAATCCTTTTTGACCTTTATTCAATTAAATACAGTACAAAGACAAGTTCTTTAATGTTCAAACTGATTCAAACTTTACTGATTTTTGTAAATATACACTTGTTCTGAATTTGATGCCTGCAACATGTGTCAAAAAAGTTGGGACAGGAGCATGTTTAGCACTGTATTACATCTCCTTTTCTTTTGACAGCACTCATTAAGTGTTTGGGGACTGAGGACACTGATTGTTGAGGTTTTGACAGTGAATTTTTTTCTTCAAGATTCACCACCACAATCTTGAAGATTTAAAAACTGTCACTGAGAGAAAAGTGTTTTTATACAGGAAGCATCTTGAAGCTGGCATTGCAAACATTGCAACAAAAGCTCCTTTTGCACTGCCTGTTCAAGGCAGGAAATATACGCTGTTACGCCACCTTGCCAGTCATTTTTAAAGGGATGACTGCAGAATGGGGGACAGATTTGTCTCACCTTTAAGCCAGGAGTGAAGTAGTAACAGCACTAAAATAGGGTCTGTGTAAAACAGAGAGCTGGCAGGACGGGATCATTGACGTGACAGGTGTGATGTTTTGACGACCTGTTATGTGTGAGACCCATCGGCAGGAGATTTAAAAAGCAGCTGATAGTAGTTAGCAACTAACTCAAAGTCTAACATTGGCTGAAAATGTCTGCAAATTGGGAAAACAATGAGGTCCAGGAGCTCCTTACCCTCCGAGCAGAGATAGTAAATGATTGTTATTGCCATATATTATGTGTCAAACAAGATGCCGACACTGTGGTGTTTCTCGTCACACTCGTCACGGCTCTTTTGTGTTTGCAATGCAGGCATGCTTTAATGCACAGAATTTTTATGGATCAGAATGTTAAAATTTCTTTATCAGTGTAGTTTCATTGAGTTAATACTAATGTCTGCTCTAAATTTCATGTGAATAGATGCATTTAGAATATGTGTTGAACACTTCCCCTGACTGTATGCCGAAAAGGATTTGCAGATAATTGCATTCTGTTTTTATTTACACAGTTTCCAATCTTTTTTGGAATTGGAGTTCTAAAACTCAGAGGAAAATGTAGGTTGTTGTTAGCAGTCAGCCACTTCAACCAAGTCAGTTTAACTCACACTATGGTTAGTTTCACCTGTCAGTATTTTGAAACATGAAGTAACTTTAGATTCACATGGCAGCACTTAATCCTTCACATCTGAAATGTCTGATTCCTGATGTTATTATGGTGGTCTGCAGTAGGACAGAGCTACAGCATACTTCAGGAAGAGTTTCCCATCTCGTGCCACTGTGGAAGTTTATTCCCAGTGCTCTGGCCCTCTGCCATCACCTCGCCCTTCCGTGATTCTCTGCAGAAAGACTGCATCAAACAAACAGAGAACATTTATCCTTCCCATCTGCAGCCCCGAAGCAACAAGGAGCGAGCAGCAGGCTTCATTTGTCCTCCACCCGATCCCTCCAGTTTCCCCTTCATGCAAAAGACACTGCAAATGCCACGGCCATTGTATTTAAGTTATTTATTTTATCACAAGACTGTGTAGTAATTTATAATGTAAATATTGAAAATACTCTATAAATACAAAAAGGACAAACATGTATGGAAATAATGACTTGACAGCAAGGAAGAAAAAAAGAGGAAAGATGAAGAATATTAATATATGAAGATCCTTCTATTGTACATAGCAACCACAGTTAAAAAATGAATGTCTGCTGTTTTAGGGAACTTGAAGATGTCAATGTGTTTTTATTTCGTGTGATAGAGTTTCTCCAGTTTGTCTCTGAAAGCGAGCTGGCGGAAGCATTTTGGGTCCAGTGTGGCAATTTAGAGAGAGAGAGAGAGACTGACCCGAGTCGAGCACAGAGAGGCTGCTAGCTGTACATGTCAGCTGACTGTCCCACTTCATAGCTCTGAACAGTACTAATGCTCCTGAACATCATGTGCGGACAAACAGCATCTTAACGAACAAACATACACTCTTGCACATTCCGTACAATGAGACACACACACACACACACACACACACACACACACGCACGCAATCCCCTTATGGTGTAGCATCATATTTACTGTATCTTCATTCCTGTTGCACCTGAATTGCCTCTTGCAAGAATTTGCACATACAATAACTCCACAGTCCATCCTGAGCTGCCACAAGTGACACAGTGGGTGTTGTTGTCTTGTCTGATCTGTGCAGAAACATAACCCACAGCGATTTACTGGATAGTTTTGGTACAGGGGATTTAAAAGATGTACATCTTCTGTGTCAAGTTTGGATTTTTCTTCTTTGCAGTTTTGATTCCAGTGCTTATTGAATCTTTGTTCAGATTCTTGACATAATTTTTAGTGTAAGAAAAGAAATCAAAATATGTCAGAAGCAAAAGCATCTATCTTCTTTGGCAAATTTTTTTGGGCTGCCTGCCATAAACCTGCTGCAAGGTATTTTGTGATAGAAGGTAAAATAAAGAACGCAAAATATTTTCCCTCTGGCCATGCAGAAGTTGAGGGTCCAGTGTGTGGGATTTAGGGGGATATATTGACAGAAATGGAATATAATATAATCAGTATGTTTTCTTTAGTGTATAATCACCTGAAAATAAGAATCATCATGTTTTCGTTACCTCAAGATGAGACATTTATATTACATATGTACGGATATGGCCACTGCCATCTTGCACTGATGACATCATTTGGAGCCAGAGTCTGCGCAGTAGCTATCTCTGTGGCACTGTGTTCCCACCCATGCACTCATCCAATCAATTGCAAGCAGTGCCATTAAACGCAAGCGCACCAGCTGGCACACACGGGTGTCAGCGATGACATCACACCCCCTTTTTATTGCATCAAAATCTAATTAAAACCAAACCAAAAGAAAAACAAACATCAGTGTGATAAGAACTACCTAAAATGACAAAAACAAATTATTTTACATGTACTTTGATCTTTTAGTCTGGCCCATGTTCCATCAGCCAACATGGAGGGGGCGGGGTTTATAACCTGTACTGCAGCCTGTCACCAGAGAGCGATCAGAATGTTTTGGCTGTGGATGTATAGAGAGAGCCTGTCATGGCAGTAGAGGGTGAGGCCCTCTACATTCCTCTTAAAGTTGCTCATAGCGCCTGAAACAAAAATGGTTCAACTGCCGCATATAATATTACATAGATGATTGGCACTGCCTCTGCACTGTGTGGCTCATAGAACAGGCGCACCAGAGACTTCCACTGGCCGAGCAGGCTACTTCAGGTTAGGCAATCCACCAACTTGAATTGGGATAGAATGATTTAATCTTTTGGCTCTTCAAGGCTTTCCAAATGTTATCAGACCTAATGGATTAAATCCTGATAGTGAAACAAGTCACTCTTTTGGGCCCAGTGACATCACGTGACAGATGTAATTCTAATGTTAGAACACTATGAAAAATGTCTTCAAAGCCTGGCACATTTCCTGGGGGCGTTGTTTTGGCTTCACTTTTGGGGAGCTGTCATACCGTATATCACTGTATATCGTCTCAGCTTTACTTAGCAAATGTTTGCATGCTAACACGCTAAACTAGGATGATGTAAACATTAAACATCAGCATGTTAGAATCGTCATGATGCCAGGGAGGGTGGGTGACGGTCACAACCACGCATTATGGGTATAAAATACTTGACTGCAAAAAAAAACAAGAAAAAATAAACAAGAATCGTCATGATGAGCATGTTAGCATGCTGATATTAGCATTTATCTAATTATTTAGCTTATTTTTGGATTAATCTCCAAACACCAATAGAGAAATCCCTTTGGCTTTTTGATGAGGAAACCACGGCAACACTAACTTCCGCATTGGCTTACAGAAAAACATCAATTCTGTGGCACTTTATATTCTGGAACCAGGCTACAGACTTCCTCCTGTAGGAATGATTTTAAATTAACTCAACCTATTCTAACTTTTGTCACACTCATATTGTAAACATGGTACATATGTGATAGTGTTGTGTGTTTCCACAAAGCACTTTAAATAAGAAGTAATTGGTCGTTGTAAATTTGGAACTGGTATGAAGTTAGATATAGTTCTTGACACCTAACTGTATGTCTTGCTAATCAACACACCTGCACCCCAAACCATTTCTGTCCATCTCTAAACCATCAGCCAGTGGGAAAGGTCTACAGATGTGTTCCCCAGGATCTGCCTGTTTTGTATCTTGGACCATAAAAAACTTCTGACTCCTGTCTTACATGTACGATCATCTAGTGCCAATTTGAAGCTCACAATGCAGCAGGCCGGCAGTATTTTTATCAGTTATAGAGTTTCCTATCTGAAGATACATCCTATTAATAGCAGAGCAACTTCCAGCACTGCAGAAGCACAAGGTTATGCCCTTGTAGCAGCAGACAAACCACCTTTGCACTGTGTTGGTCGTCTTTGTTGTCATAGCAACAGCATGTCTGCTGCTGAGTGTGTCTTGAATGAGCTTATGGGCTCTGGGGTCAATCTTGGCTTTAAGGCCAAATTAATGCTTCATCACGATGGAGACACTGGATCAGCTCACCCCTAAAATATCACACTTCCCATGAAATATTGAAGTTAATATGCAGCTTAATTCAGGTATTTTATAGCCAAATGTTTGAGTACAGCTGTCTGATGTTTAATGCCCTTTTGACAGAGCAGTGTGTAGGATTTAGTGCCATCTAGCAGTGAGGATTGCAGATTGCAACCCGCTGAAACTTCTTCCATCTGCCAAGCATGAACTCCAGGTTGGGATTTCTTTGGTTTTCATTGTTTGGGAAGTTTTTACCGGAAGCTGAATTATCCACAGGTGATTAAAACTGTTATAGAAACTGAATAAAGCAGTTTCAGATTAGTTACAGATTAGTGTGTCTCTAGATGGGCTGCTAGTCCAGCACCTGCTAATGTGTGCTCACATTATTTCTCTGAAAACTTTAAGATCCAGATGTTCAGGAGGTTTTTATCAGGAGCCGAATTATCTTCAAAGGTCTCCTTCTCTCTAGAACAAATCGACCTGATGATATAAACCAGTAAAAACACTGAATAAAGCAGTTTCGTGTTAAAAATCAGTTTTCCCAATACTGTTCAGCTCACTGCAGAGGAGCTGCGAACTATGGTGACCAACGCAAAAATGCAAATGGCCCTATTTAGAGCCAGTGCTTGGTTTGTCCATTTTGGGCTACTGTAGAAACATGGAGGTTCAACATGGTGGACTCCATAGATAAGGACCTGCTCCCTGTGTAGATATAAACGGCTCATTCTAAGGAAACAAAAACACAGCCATTCTTATTTTCAAGTGATTATACACTAAAGAAAACATACTTATATTATATTCCATGTCAATATATCGCCCTAAATGTTACAAACTGGACCTGTAAGACACATTCTGATCACAAGTTGACGGAATACAGGTGTAAATGCATCTTGAATTAATGTCTCAGGCCACACCCGCAGGCCGTCAGGCATGTATTTGCCCACATTTGTTGTTTGTGAATGCAAATGTGTGCCTGACTGCATTAAAGTCAGTATATTATTATTCACACCACATGCAAAACCTTCCAAACTCCAAGTGAGTTATCATCTCTCTGTACCTCTTTACCTATCTCTCACATATTTACCTCCTCTATTTTTTTGTTTTTCCCTTCATAACATCACAGTCCTCTTCTTTAGCTCTACAATACATCTAAATGCATATGTGTATTTTCACATTTTTAATGCAGATGAACATGTTACATGAGCATGGCCCTGGATTTTCCTCAAAATATACTCAACGTTAAGTCTTATATAAGGTGAAAATGTGAAACACTTAAATTATGTTGCACAAGCTGTTTGAAGGGATCTGATAGGCTTAGATGTGTGAACGTCCATAGTTTAAGAGAAGACTGATATGAAATACAGGATCCAACTAACTGAGAATACTTTACCAACATTTTTACAGTCATTTCTTTTACCAGCTGAATATGCAAGTACACATTCCCTCAGGCACCAGAAACAGAAAAATGATGGTTGTGTTGCTGAACTAAAAGGCTAGAATAAAAGTGGATGGGCAGATATCAGTCCATATAAACCACTTCTATGCTTGTATGTCACATTTAAAACTGATGATTTCAGATATAGAAAGAAATCTACATTTTCCCACATACTGTAATTTGTTTTGTGTTATTGGAGTCACCACAAACCTCCAATCACTATTTGACATTTTTTAAGCTGCTCAATCAAATGTCACTGTGGGTTAATCATGTAGAGAAGGGACCTGGTGTACAGCTCTGCTTAGCTTCAAGTGAAATCACTTTATAAGTCTGGATGTAGTAGGACAACAATGACATCATAGGTGGCTGTAGTTTGATGAGCAAGTTGGTTTATAATGAAGCAGAGATGATTATCAGAAAATATCAGAAGTTAATATGAAGGTGGTCAGAGGCAGGATCGCTCACTGGGCTCAAAACAATGTTTAACTTGACAAATAATGTTACATGATTCTTGCTCTTTTGGAGAATCCTGCATTATAGGAATACTCCTCCTCAACAAAGTGAGCATCTGTTAATCAGTTGGTCATGCTGTGTTACATCGAATTTGGAGACCTCCACAGAAAAAGGCGAACATATTGATTTATTGATTGACTGGGGACCAACTTTAACAACTTTAAAACCATGTCAAAACATCTGTTTACAAGCTCTCACACAACTCATGCAGTATAATCCAAGTCTCATTCATCCAGTCGTATGCTCAGTACTTCCCAAACACATGCATTTTTAGCCCGTTTTCATTCCCAACTCATCAAATACCCCCACTTTTTGAGTGATCTTGGCGTCAGATACCGATGCACTGAAGCAGCATTTGCAGCAGTATGATACACACTGGGCAGCAGCAGTTGTTGATGCAGCAAACAAAAACCAAAGCAGTCAAATACCACCACTTTGTCAGTGGATGTCCATGTCAGACAATGACGAACAAGGGCACCTTTTGCGGCATTGGACATGCAATGACCATTGGCAGTTTGTAATGCTGCCGGCAACCACCATAGCATAAAGAGCAAGAAACTCTGTATTGGATAGGCAGGTCAAACAAACTCCGGACTTTCACCCTGAAGCCCGCTGTTTTTTTCTCCTGTGAAACCAAAAGTTGGTGAAGTTATTTTAATAACAATGTAGTGTGCTAATATGTGTAGCATTCTAAAGTAGTGATGTATGTCACATGATGTTCTAACAATATGATGAAAAACTTTTCTTATTTAACGCCACACCATGATGTTTTTTTCAAAACCTAACCACAGACTTTGTTGCCTAGACTTAACCACAGACTTTTGTTAAACGTAAAAAATTAAGTGTTTTACCTACATTGTAGGTTTATTTTGAAAAAAGACTGTATGAGCAGAAACTGTACATTTCCTGTGAAAACAGAAGTGTGTTTTGAAAAATTACAACGCAGGTGTAAATTGTAAACATGCATGTCATGTTTTGACGTTTAGGTTCACTGACAAAGTGGCGGTATTATATGAGATGGAATAAGACTGTGTTGGCATTTTCTCAGCAAAATGTATGCTCTCCTTAAAGCCAGACTCCACTAAGGTTTACTAATGAAAATGCATGTATTTGAGAAGTACTGAGCATACAACTGGATAAATGAGGCTTGGTGTGTGTGTGTGTTTGTAAAAGGATGTTTTGAATGCCATCATACAATACGAGACTTCATTCCCAACGCAAGAAATTCTTACTTGAACACAACAAATAGAAGATTCAGATAGAGCAGAGGTGAACCACTGTGTTATTGTTTCACCATCAAGCTAAAGCTAACAGAAGAAATGACAGACAAATGGCAGGTGATAGCAGTAATTTGACTGTAGAAGCACCAAACTTAACAAAAGCACTGATCACAGGAGCAGCTGTAGTTCCACACAGCCGACCACACCCAATGATTCGCCTCTCATGTATACAAATGTCTGGGCCCAGGCTGTCTATGAGCAGAAAGTACAAAACTAACAAGGGAACAAATATTCCATGTATGTCGTGATCATTTTATGCGACCTGTCAGGCTGAAACAAAACATTTTATTTAAGCTTTTTCCTTATTTCTTTCTGTGTGTTTGTGTGTGTGTATAAAATGCATTCACTATGATCACCATACAGTTACCACAAGCACGGACCCACACACACACACACACACACACACACACATGCTTTCACACACTTTATGCCTGTTCTGGTGGGAGTTATAACAGCAGATGACGTCACTGTATCCAGTTTGTATATGGAGATCTGTTATTAAAACGTTAAACCTGAAACAGTCATGTGTGTGTCCTGTTATATATCATCAGAACATTACACCAGTTCAATATCAGTTCATATCTAATAAACAGCATCACTGACCATCAGTGGTGGAATATATCCAAGTACATTTATGTAATGTTGCAATGCCAAAACAGATTGCTTTTATATTCTATTTTTATTTCAAAATTAAAAGCATACAGCAACTTTGGGTGGCAATTGAAATGAACCATTAAATATAAATACCCAAGGTCTGTAAAATTTTGATCATATCATTTAAGTTTGGAAACAGCTGCCACTAGGTGACAGCACCAAACCACATATAATATATATCAATGATCAGAGTTTTACTCTCTCTGCATTGCTTTGACTGCACTGTTAACATTTTATCTATATCTTGCTATATATTTGTAATAACTCACATATTCAAGGGTGGACCAGTATCAATGTGATGCACAGTCCATGTTGTATCCCTGTTCTGTATTGGTGGATGAGCATCTGTTGGTGGACTGCCAAGCTACATCTCATGTGCCTCTTGTAACTACAAAAAAAACATTTGAAATATAGAATTAGATCACTTTTGCATGTAAGGTACAAAGCAACAACAAACATATCAGTGATGAACAGGCTGTGACCACAGAAAATGTTGGTAGACAAAAACTGCTTGCATAAAATGTAGAAGGTCAGAGCCAGAGAGCACTGACAGTGCAACACATACTGTTCCAAAGTATTATGCACGTGACATATCAGTAGGATTTCACTTAAATGAACATTTAATTCAGTGGAAGTTTTTAGCTTGTTTTATTTCTCCTATCTTTGCAGATAACTGGTAACAGTCTCAGACAAGATTGTAAATTATTTTGTCAGATGATCTTAAGGAAAGGGAAACATACTTAGAGAGGAGGAAGAAAGATATTTCTGATGATGAAAAGCGTGAAGTTGTGCAATGTTTTGCAAAAGGCATGAAAACAACTCATATTTCAGGAAGACTGAATAGAGTTTATCAAACTGTGAAAAGATTAGCGTGTGACTCAGAGCACTGACAAATATGTTCAGATAAGGGAGTGTTTGTTACTTATGGGGGGGAGGGGTTGGTGCAAATAATTGGAGGCATGTAAAATTATTTCTAGGTACTGGGGTGGAACATACGTTTCTAATTTGGCTTAGGGGAGGTTATACAAATTTAAATGGTTGTATTTTGTATTTATTTTACTGCCAATTTTTAAAGGAACCATGCGCCTGGAGGGCATGTATTCTTTAAAAAAATCACCAAAATTACAGCATTTATCATAGCCAGAAACATCATGTTTCACTTAAGCTTCTGTCTCGAAAACATAGAAATAAAATTTAAAAAAAATAGCAAATCTGAGCTTAAAGTAGTGTTTCCACACCCCATCTACTCACACACACAAACACACATTATATTACTTCTCATCCAAACAAATTCATATAACCTACTTTTACACTTTGCTTGATATGGTTCTTATTATAGGCTTAAGTGTTGTTTTGTCATACCTTGACAGTTTTGACGACTGCGTCTGTCATCATCATCAGAGGCGTCACGTGATGTTGTGGTGACGTGTCCTGTAGATGTTTTATCCAGGTTGTCCACCGGAGTGGTGGAACCTGAATGACGGCAGGGATCCCTGCTATCCAGGAGGCAACAGGGGGCGAGGCCCCTCGCCATCAAGTACACTATCTGATGGCATTCCTCCAGATGATGGGGGGTGGGGCCCCTCGCTGTCCGGCAGTCCTACAGACGGCACTTCTGTAACACTGCATCCCAGGTGTGAGATAGTTGGTATGCTCCCTCATCCCGGTTTACAGTTCTGGATGCAGGGTTGCGGATTTCCACCACCTCTGCAATCCAACGGTGGTACTTGTTGCTTTTGTTTGAATGACCTTGGCCTCTTTCAAGTTCATGATGTGATTCTCCCTTTTGCAGTGATCTGAGATGGCTGATTTCAGATTTTTCTGCTCCACTTTTTCTTTTTTTGCACAGGTCTGTGCTCTGGATGTTTCCTTTTCACACTCTTTCCTATGTTCATTTCTTCTTGTACTGAAGGCTCTACCTGTCTCCCCTATATAAGTTTTGTTGCATGTTGCTTTTTTTTTTAAGATATTGTTTTGGGCATTTTTGAGCCTTTAATTGATAGGACAGGTGAGCGTGAAGGGACAGAGAGGGCCACAGGCTGGAGTCGAACCCGGGCCGCTGCGGCAACAGCCTTGTACATGGGGCGCCTGCTCTACCACTAAGCCACAGACGCCCCATGCATGTTGCATGTTTGTCGCATGTTGTTTGTTGTCAGAAAAACAAAACAAAAAACAAAGTCACAATTCCAGGCTCCCTACCTCACCCCCACCCCTGATAAGTAAAGACCGGTCCCTAAAGGCTTTTTAGGAACGTTTCTGTCAGGGATATTAATAGTATTAAAGGGGCAGCTTTAAAAAAAAAAAGAAGCCACAACTGAATCGCAAGCAGGTATTTGATGTTGCTGGTGTCTCATGCAGGATCCCTCAGAGGCTTCCAGTTTAGTGTTAAGCTTTATTTCTGCCACCCTGAACACAAAGTGAAATGTTCTCAGTGGGTTTAGAGATGTATATCTATTTCCTTTAATACAAAATATTAATAAACTAATAAACAATGCTGTATGAATGAATTACTGAAATTTGCAGCACCTTTACCAACTGCAACATAAGAAATGCAATATTAACTTTAGTGTGTATGATTTAGGGTGATCTAGCAGGGTAATGTTGATACTTTTATCTTTTCACACTACTTTTATAACCTTCAGAGCCAAAGAATTACAACTTAAACATGAACCAAACACTTTCTGTAATAACTCATGCTGTGAAATATGTCATACATAAGAACACTGAAAACAGATGATGATATATCCCCATAGACATGATATATCCATAGACTGTATAAAGATATATCCCTATAAGTGCAACACTTTTGACCATTAACCGGAAGCCAGTCATGTGACCTCAATAAGACTTTTATTTTTGAAGTGTAACCGGAAGCACGGCGTTTTCCTCCTTACAAGTGTCTACTACTTGACACAATTGAAGGCTTGCTATCAACAGTGTTTTTCTTGCCAGTCGGTAGAGAGCGAAACAAACAATAAACAGCAGTGCGCAGCTCAGCGTTAACTTCAAACATGGAAGAGAAAGAGGAAGCCGTCGCAGTGAGACGGTAAGACTGAGTTATTAAAATATGCATTACGTGTGTTTTTCGTCCGACATGTCTCCTGTGCAGTGTGGCGTGTTTACCCCAACTTCCCGAGAACCATGGCGCCATTAACGTTAGATACACCCAGAGCTGGACAATACGATGTTGGTTTGTCTCGAAGCTGGTCAGTGCTGACAGCATTTTACTTACAGTCAGTATCTGAAATGTTTGATGAATGTCGCTTTCACACGTGTTGGATGCTCATGTGTCGTCCAGTGTTTGACCTCTGCACTAAAAGCCCCGTGTCACCTCAGGCAGCACAGTACGGTTCACTTCAGGTCACTGCGTAGTTTCTCCGTTTCCACTGTGAGAAGTTGTGGATGCTAAGTTACCAAGGGAGCCGTTTCTAACCATGCCCAGTTGGCTAGTCTGCAGTTTTTGAGTGTGAAATCGTATGTGGTTTAATATAGCTAAGTACATTTCCTAAATGATTATATTCAAGAGCAAGATTGAGGCACATTGTACTGTAGGCTACATGTTGTGCTACGTTGTACTTCGTCACATCCCAGAGGAACATAATGTACTCTTCACTCTGCTGCATTAACAAGGTGTTCAAGCCGGAAGGGTTGAAGCCTTATTGTTTTTGTGTGAATTTGTTATCATAATTACCATTGCTTTTTTATCTTTAGAAATGTTTTGGAAAATTCCCATAAGATGGTACATTACAGGGCTCAACAATAAGGATTGCCCGATTGCCCGGGGCAAGTAAAACTCACGGTCGGGCATGTAAAATAACAACTCACTTGCCCGATCGGGCAAGTTGCTAAAAATAGTAAAAGTTAATAACAAATTGATAAAATAAATGTATTTTAAAACGTGCTCCTTCTGCTCTGATGCAGCAGTCTCTCTGCCTGAAGTCACAGGCACAGCTGTGTAACAATGTCCTGCCCACAGCCCCCATTGATATTATTTTGCGCGACGGACGCTTCATATAATAACATAACAATATACTATTTATGGTGTTATGTCATCGTGTCATTTCTGTCTCTACATGGTCACGTGTTAACAATTCTCCTCTGCTCTCTGTATCGCGCACGGCGGAGTTCCGCCACACACACAGTTGAGCACGCTAGAGCGGCTCGGGCCGCATTTTCCTGACCAAACCTGACCCCGAGCCCGGTGCAGTTTGTCAGCTGACAAAGTTATTGTTATGGACACTGTGTAAATAACCATCAACAGACTGCTGTTACGCACAGACAAACACGCTGCTCACACAGCAGCGCAGCACAGCACTCATGCAGAGCTTGTGTTGCGTTCAGGTGTTACTTAAATAGGTCATAGCACAAAACAGCAGCATGTCAAGTGACTTTTTACTTTTATTATATTCAATAAAATTGTATGTTACTAAATCTTGAGACACCTCATATGTAAGCTAGACAGACATTTCACCTGCTCATTACTGTGCACACATGTACTGTATGTACTTAGTCCTAAAGAGCCCTTCTGGTGCCAGTAGATACACAGAAACATCCCAGCAGGCTGTGCTTTGCAAGCATACAAAAAAGTTTCACGCATGTGAAAATTATTTTTCATATGTGTGCTTCACCTCCGCTGCTACAAGTCCATCCTAGGGGAAACACTGCTGTGTGCGTTTTGTGCAACAGGTGGATGTGGTAGTCTACTGGTAGAGTAGAGAGAGAGCTAAGTAGCGTTGAAGTAGAGTAGAGCAGGGCAGAGAGATGGAAGCAAGATATATTAAACCCAGTGTTAATACAGCAGAACTGGAGAGAAGGGTGAAAAATAAATAGAGGTGGGCATGGCTCAAGTAGGGCGCAAAATTATAGACGGAAAACGATTGACAAATTTTTCACTTTAAGCCCTTTTTGTGTAGGAATTAAGCTACAATACATGACATATGTTGTTTTAATTAATAAATACAGTGTGAATAAAGATTATATAACATGAAAATAACTGCAGTCTTTGTTATTTGATAGCCGCTTAAATTAAACAATTTTTATAGGGCAAGTAAAAACTGACTTCGGGCAAGTAGATCTCTGACCAACTTGCCTGACCGGGCAAGTGAAACAAAACTTTAGCGTTGAACCCTGTACATTATACAATTCAGCAAATCATCAACAAATAAAATGTTCACCAATCGTTGGGAGCTGTGCACAAATCCTGCTGAACAAATAGGCTGTGGGCCAGTGCCCCAAAAGAAATAATTTAGGGAAGGCCATAGGTTACAGTCTCTTAAGTTGACTAACATGTAATTCAACACACAGGTCCAGCTCAATGTGGCTACAAAAAGAAGAGAGAACCATTCATTCCATAACTAATTATCACAAAACTTACAGGAAATGTCCACGAAAGTATTTCTAATAACTTTCATTCAAATTGACCTCTAGGGGGCGTCACAAAATGAGGGAAAAAAAGGGCGTCACACAAATCAAAGTATAAATCACAAATTGTTTGTCCAGCCATTACAAACCTCGCAGGCTACGTTAAAAACTAATGTAGAACCACGTGTAGAAAAATATTTTGATATTCACATCGTAATTTTGATAAAAAAATATAAAAAAATCTCCTCCTAAACCTTATGTCCGGTCATTACTGAACCAGAAGTTATCAAAATGTTATAATAATAAATTGGGGGGCTTTTTTAAAAAATACTGACCGATGCACTTCAAAAAATGACATAGCTCATCACCTAAATAGCTGTAACTCCAACACTTGGGCCAGTCCTCACAAAGCTAGCAGGATATGTCCATAAGTACCTAAGAAATACCCTCAAAGCCTCATTCAAATCAACTATGGGGCACCACAAATGTAAAAAATGACTGTGGCATAACACAGATTAGACTATAAATCAGATTATTTTGTCAAATCATTACCAAACTCACAGGATGTGTGTCATAGCAATGTTGAACCCTGTGTGTGTAAAATTATTCCTAAATCGCTCAATAGGGGGTACCACCAATTCCAAACAGGTGCACTGCCTAGTGAAACATTTGTTCATAAATCAATGACAGCTTGTCCAAACAAAACCAAATTCAGTGTTTGTTTGTTTGTTTGTTTATTTGGTTTTTTTTTTAAACTAAAGCAACTGAAGCATGTCCAGTCAACCTATAGTGAGTGACAGTGTTGCACAGCATAGCATAGCTAGACAGACATTCTTGCATAACTGGATTAGCGTCTGTCTGATCGTCATAAAATTAGGGATAGACCGATATGGATTTTTTAGGGCCGATGCCGATACCGATTTTTTTCCATCACCCTTAGCCGATGACCGATTATGGACTGCCAATTTTCTTGAGCCAATATTTGGGGCCGATACTGATTTTGCTCCCTCAATTTACATAAAAAAAATGACACAATGATAACAAATATTACAGGTCTCAAGTTTAAAATAAGAAACATTTATTGAACAGTAAAAAATACTAAAACAAGATGGAAAGTTGAGGTAAAACAGGTAGAATATTATTATTATTATTATTATTATTATACATTCAAATAAAAAAAGAGTTCAGTGCTCTTAAGTCTTCCAGTAATGTCTTTATAAAATAAACAAATATTTAAGCTGAAGCATAAATAAAACAACAACTACTGTACACAGTAGGATTCAACAGCTTTGTTCAACTTAACCACATACTTTCAAATGAAAAAAAGTGCCAGGGAAAAATAAATCTGCTAACCCACGAGCATATCGGCCGATGCCGATACAAGTAAAAATCTCAAATATTGGCCCGATATATCGGCCGGCCGATGTATCGGTCTATCCTTACATAAAATCTGTTATCTCTAATTCAGATGTTGTAAACTATCAAAGGCATTGATCCTTTACACCTTTCAACTTTTAACTAGTCATGCTGGCTTGAACCCAGAATCGCGGCTTGAGGCTATATATCTTTATTGATCTCTGGGGGCAGAGGGGCTCACAGGTTACCCAAAAGATGAAGTAGAGAAAGTAGTTAAAATCAGATCCACCTTTACCAGCTCCAACATGTAAGTAATGAACACATTAATACATCAATAATTACAATCCTTAATGTAATACATATGATTATAAAATGGGCCATTTTTCATAATAAGTACTTTTACTTTTTGTAGGCTACTTTAAGTATATTTTGATGCCAATACTTACATACTTTCAGTTGAGTCAACATTTGAATGCAGAACTTTTGCTTGTGACAGTATTTTTATACTGCAATATTGCTATTTTCACTGCAGTACAAAATCTGAGCACTTCTTCCACCACTGGAAAACATATTTGAATTACACATGATACACATAGCTATTTCAGGTATATTCTTCCAATATGCCGTATTGCTTTAAATAGGTGTAATATCTGAACAGTGTCGTGTGCTGTCCCTGCCACAGTCTGCTCATTTGTGTATTTAATCACAGATAGCTTCGTAGATTGACTCTTATTTCATGTCACATATTTTTATGATGTTCAGCAGCCACAGACACATTTGGATAGCTGGAGTGAGTGCATGTCAACGTGTTGACTGGCCTCTTGTGACTTTGTGTTTGAATACTTCTTCCTAACTGGCATGTCATTTAAAAAGGAATCCTGATGCACTTGAAAAAAAAGTCTTTTGGCATAAAAGCAGAGTGAGAGTTAGCTGCTCTCTGTTGACTTTGACTTACTTTGACTTTAAATACTGCAGTGGAACCCTCTGGGCCTTCAAGGCATTCAGTGTAGAAAAAAATATTGAAAGGGTTTTTGTATTCCTGTTACATTGTTGTCTTAGCTGGTCCTATTTTGTGGAGTTGTGGGCTGGATAAGGCAGTCCATAGTGTGTTATTGCCAACATTGCTGTCCAAAAGCCAGTGTCAGTGGAACCATGTGATGTTGTGTGTCTACTTATGTGTACGTGCATATCTGAAAGTGTTAGTGGACTCAGTGTCGTCACTCCCCTTTTGTGTTTACAAAAACACGGCTCCCTGTGTTTCGACACTGTTTGTTTTGCTGAACAGTTTGTTCCAATTCTAACCAGGCCAGGCTTAAAGGGATATTTCAG